GTTGTTAAGCACTGACGATACCCATGATATGCTCAGAAAAGCATAGTGTGACATATTTTCATGACATGTATCACGATAAGAATAAATGTCATATTGCCCAACCTGAAGGAATGATTCTCTTGTTCTGAAAGTGATTGTGTCTCTGTGATACGCAGGTGGAGCAGCAGACAGACGACCTGCTGTTGCTGACAGAGTCATGGTTCTCTTCTCTGAGCTCTCAGCCGATGGAGATGATCAGAAACATCAGCACACAGCCGTTCCCTGAGCTCCACTGCTGCGCTCTCCGCATATTCACTGTAAGAGCATCTCCTGTGTTGGTGTGCATATGAGAGTATGAGCCAGAACATACAAGTTATTGTAAATTCTGAACAGTTTAGGGTCATTGCTAATGATGAGGCCATGAAGGTCTTTAGAAGAAGGCAAGATGACGTGTCAAATCCGGAAAAATGCTGAACTGTTTCTTTTTGAGAAAGTGTGCTTGTGTGTGCTTTAGTTTCTGTTCTTACTAAAACCCACATTCGATGTGGTCACCTGGCGTCAGTCCTCATCTCAGCTGTTTTTATATAGCCGCATTTATTACAGTATTAAAAGAAGTGTAACGTGAGAAGCCCTGAGGTGACGTCATGTCAGCAGTGAACTGTTCCTGCCTGCTAGACTTTTGTTCCCTGATGAGGTTTTTAACGAGCCTGGAAAGACTTGAAGACAGTTTGGACAAACAGCGCTAACAGTGACTTACAGCTAGTGTTTCCAGCCAGAATGAGGTCATTCCCTCAAGGCTGGTATTTTATAAGTGTCTCAGAGTGGGCTGCTGTTCTAGAGTCAGACTGAGAAAGATCAGTTGTTTTTTTCCATAAATATACAGCCGTATGCAAATGTTTGGGCACCCCTGGTCAAATTCCATGTTTTGTTGATCTTCAGAGGACATGCTTCTGCGCACGTTTATGCACAATTACTGTTTATTTGCTGAATTTAATTTTAGGAAAGAGTAAAATGTTAAGCCTGAGTCCCATTTCTTATTTTTACCCCTACCCCTTGTTTTCGAGTGTCATGCGGTGGTGGTTGAAATCTACTGTACAAAATGAGACCCTAATAAAAAGTGCATTACTTCATTAACAGCTACTACTACTGCTCTGTAGGCGACCCTGCCAGTCTGCAGTGACAGCAGAGGAGGGTAAAGTTCAGCTCCTTACTGCTGGGCTTTAGTTACATTTAGGGAATCATATGCCCTCAAAGAGGGGGGGCAATTATTTATTATTGCCCACCACTAATTCTTCAGTGATATGAAGCTGAAGTCAGATATTCACCAGCTTCTCATTCAAATTTTCCTGTTCCACCTTAAATTGTGCAGTACTTACATTCTGGCGCTTCAGGCATCAGAACCGCTGGACTATTTAAGGTGGAACGGGAAATTTAGCCAGCTAGCTACCGAGACATCAGCATACCATTATCGATTTTTTATGTTTGTTATGAAGAAAAGGACGATAATACGTTGAAATGAGAACCTAAGATAATACAATGATTATCGTAATTTTTTAATGGAGAAAATTCTCACATTTGCAAGTTTCTTTGGTTTCTTGTTCAGCCGTCTTGCCGGTGTTTCTTTTTTTCTCATAACTCTCTGTTTGGAGTCTCTGAAACATCTCCGTTCGCAGGGCCATGTAGCCCTAACACTTCGCCCTACCCCTCTATCTCAACAAGAATCGGGACGCCCTTCCCCTAGACGTGAACATGCAAAACAGAGGGGTAAGGGCTAAGTGGTAGGGGCGAGGGCTGAAATGAGATTGGGCCAAAGTACGGCTTGATGCATTTTATATTTTATTATTTTTCAATATGTTAAAACTAAAATGTGCAGAAAATGTGGCAGCTGTTGTATATTTACAGGACCTCTAATTTACACCTGATCATGAATTCATTTATTCATTGTTTAATAAACAATGATTTGCTGTTCTGAATCACAGGCCATAGCGTGCCAGGAGTGGGGTCAGCGCTTGATGATGTCGACGCCGGGTTTTGCAGAGTGGGTGGTGGACCGCTCGGTGGGGAAAGGGAAGGAGGCGAAGGACTGCAAGTTCGAGCTGGTGGGGGCACTGCTGAGCTCGTCCAGCACGCGAGAGATTTTTGGAGCTCAGAACTACCTAAAGCTGAAAAGCTACCTGGAAGAGGGACCGTACTACGTCAGCGCCGTGTCCTCCGTCACCACTGAGGGAGCGGACTGAGCGAAAAACACTTACACGTACAACAAGAACAGAAACGGACCACCCATTAATACTTCCTGACGTTAATACACAGGAGCTGATTCTGAGTTGATCCTGTTAGGATAAAGTGGTTCTCTGCAGTTCTCTCATTCTCTCTCTGCGTTTCTCTCTCTCTCTCTCACAAATACTCACACATCACTAATGGCCAAATTTCCTGATTAACTGCACTAAATTGCATCTGGTTTTTTTCTACTGCTGTGAACTTTGTGTTATTAAAGTTTTTGTCAAATTGTATAATTGCTTCGTAGTGATTATACTGATTGAGTGAGCGATTGATTTTTAATGCCACTTTTGGCCAAATAAATGAAGTACTCTTTTCCAGATATGCACTTAGTTGTGTTAGTGTGGATTCCCCACTGCAAATCCCATATAGGCTTTTTTGGGCTATTTAGACTTGAGCAGAGCAGCAGTACAGCCACAAAAAGGCAGCACTGGGATTATTTGTTATGTAGAAAACAACCAGTTCATATGTACATCTAGAGCAGTTCTTCCCAGTCCTGCACAGATTACTGCCGTTCCTACTCGGCCACACCTGCTTCAACTCAAGATCTTGATAATAAGCTGATGAACTTAAGTGTGTTGCAATTTTACCCCAGATGTATTTGGTGTCTCGAGTTTGCTTTTTCAGTTTTGCACTGGAGCTACAAGGCTGACGTTATGTACTGTATTGTGCAAAAGTCGAAGACCACCCGTTATAGCAAAATGGTTCACCCAGTTGGCCCTTCATAGTCTAGCAACTACCTCTGAAAAACTTTACACCACATTACAAAACTAGAAAAAAGCATTTCCAAAAGAAGAATTTTTCAACTGAACATTTTGTTGCCATTGAAGCTAGCATGAGTGCCACTATGGCGAGTGAGCAGCCAGCAAACGCTGGATTAGGCAGCCAAACGGGGGGACACCAAAACTGCCCCCATCAGATAAACAGCACTTAAAGCTTTCATCTCTGAGAGAGAGGAGAAAATCAAGCTGCTTCAGATCTGAAAACATCCACAGGTGTTTCTGTCCATCCTTCCACTGTGAGAAGACGACTCAGCGCTATGGGTCTGAAAGGATGTGTAGCTGTCAAGAAGAACCTCGCTGAGAAAAGGAGACGGACACATCAAACAAAGAAGCTGAACAATGGACTGACCACCCCAGAGTCCAGACCTCAACATCACTGAATGTGTTTGATTACTTCAGAAAATGATCAACCAGCTTCTGAGACTGAACTTTGGAGGTGTGTCTGCAGATTCTTTGAGGAACTGACAGTGAGTCTCCTGAACAGAATGGAAGCTGGAATAAAGATGCTAAGATACAAGCTTCCGTTACATGTTAGCTACATTGACCTTGTAGCTTCAGTGCAAAACTAAAGAAGCAAAGTTCAGACACCAAACATGTGTTGACAGATTGACTTCATTTCCTCACTGACTTGAGGCAACATGTAGCAGTTTTACTGAACATGTAATGAAAGGTTTGTTGTGGTAGCTTGGATGAGTAATGTCTTCTGTGTGGGGGTTGGAGGACAGTTGCTCTCCTCCCATTGAGGTAGAAACATGGATGATGTTTAAAAAAGACAACATTTATAAAAGAATGTTCTCTCTTTCATACACAGTCCTTGAAGGCACATTATCTCACAAGCTTTCAGACATTTTCAGCCTGTTTCACACACATGCAGAGCTCATACTCCAGGTTAAGATGCACACAGTCAGTCCCTGAGGGTACTCCAGTCAAAACGGCTGCCTCGGTTAAGAAGTCTTAAGTGAGGGCGAATAAGTTCTTTGGTGTTTCTATACTTAAATTCACAAACTCCAGGCAATTAGGCCACAGCACATGTTGAACTGAAGCAGATCTGGCAGGGATAACACTAAAGCGTGCAGTGCTGTGGCCTGTCAGGACTGCAGGGTCACTCTCAAAAATAATGTGTTAATTAACAGTGCACACTCTGTCCCTGTTCACACTCAATATTAACATCCGTCTCAAGTGTGTAATGATGAGTGTAAGATTTAGGGGGATCTATAAGCAGAAATGGAATAAAGTATACAAGATAATGTTTTCATTAGTGTATAATTTACCTGTAATTATGAATTTAATCTGTAAGTACAGTGGTCACATGAAAAATAAGGCGGATAAAAGCTTACACCTGGCATGTCCAAGGACTAGTTTGAAAAAATCTAGGCCTTGCCTTGGTGGACAGAGAAGAACCAAATTTTAAATTTTACATTAATTATTATCACTACACATTTATTAGGCCACATGCTATAGTCAAAACAGTTTGCCATCATCCAGCTTCTCTCCCTCTCTCTGGGTGGCAAAAAGCAAAAAGACCTCTAAGCTGGTTTTCTCTATGATAAAAATGAATAGGAGTTTAAAAAATGGCCACTATTGTGTCCTGTGGTAAACAAAAAGATATGTCTGCTGCAAACCCGAGATGTTTTGTCCTGTTTATGTTTTTCCCCAAATGTCCCTAGATCCTCCTAATGATGAGGTCGTTAAGGAGTCAAATGAGCTTTGCTACATCTGTATGCTACCACTCTTGAAACCTATCGTTACATTAGAGTGAGTCGATTAAACTTCAGCACTATAAACTTCAGCACTATTATAAAATAACATCAGTTATTTTATATATATATATATATATATATATATATATATATATATATAGCATATGTTTTGTTTTAGATGCAAATGAATACGCTGGGTGGTCAGCTGAACCAGTCATGAAGTCAGGCACAATAAAACCTGCTGCTCAGTGGCGCCCTCATGTGCACATGTTGATAAATCAGCTGAGCGCTTTTGCGCAGTAAATCTAGCTGATGTGCTGTTTTTAACACCCATGTTTTGAGAGTGCTGAGAACCCTGATAATATGAAAATTGTTTGTGTTGTCACTTCTTGAAGAGTTTGTTCTTCAGTATTTGGGGTAAATGACCCTCTTGGTCCTCCCATCTGCTCTGTTCATATCCAGCCACTTTCCACACCGGAAGATGGTGGTCACTCCATTGGCCGTGTTGGTCACCTCGATTCGGCTCAACAGCCAGCCGGGGCTGATTCCAGAGCTGTCGTGCTCCACACAGATCCGGAACAGGTCCCCCAAGTCCAGCAGCTCTAGAATGAAGCGGTCTGTCCGACCGCGCTCGAACAGGTTGCGAAACTTCTGGCGAAGCTGGCGGCGGCCCGAGTCGCCATTGGAGCCGAAGATAGTGATGAAGACGTTGGCGTCCGTCCCTGCGCCCTTCTCGTCACCCGTGATGACGATGATTTCGTACTTGACGGGCACCAGGCTACGCGCCTTACTGGCGAAACTCTCAATGAACTTGGTGCATTCGAAGGTCTGGAAGTCGTCTCGTTTGGAGGAGAGAGGGATGAGGGAGTTGCACTGGAAGATGTATCTGAGAGAGAGAGAGAGAGAGAGAGAGAGAGAGGATGAGAGTGAAATGAAAATGCTTGAATTGCTTAGATTACACATTAGCATCATGGTAGTGTAACAGTAGTATCCAGCTGCAAACCAGCAGGCCAAACCAAAGGCCGGGCAAAGCCTTAGCTTCTGCAGACCGGGTGAATGTTAGCTAAGTGTTGGTGAGATAACTCACATGACCTGTTTAAATTATCTAACGGTAAAGTTACGGTTGTGGTAATTCCCCCAGCAACATCAGCCAGTGTGAACTGTTCCTTCAATATGAAAGGGTTAAGTTTAGGGTTAGGTTTAGGTTAAGCGGCCACGCATTATTTTTATTTATACAGGATGTCATCATTAGGGCTCCGTATATTTTTGAAAGGTTACTCTGGTTTTCAGTTTGGGGCTTATAGGTCTCTCCACATTTAAAGAGGTAACAACCTGGTCTTATATGACTGCAAATAAATACCCAGGAGAATGACCAAGTTGCCCGTCATGTGGACAGGCTTTCGTATTAGGACTTTGCTATTGACCAAGCTGGCTTTGCCAAGCGTGGAGCTTCTCTAAAGTAAAATCAATGAATGTGAAGAGAGGAGAATTGCCAAACAATAATGTCTTCTGGTTTGGTCAGATTCTAGAGGGCACTTCTGAGCTAGTCTGAAATGAATGGACATCTATGGAGCTTTTGTGGAAAAATTGTAGTTTGTAAATGCTCCGTCCTTTTTCTAAAGATAAATGCACTCGTTTTCTCAACAGTTGTAGAACTTCATAACAGTGCTTTATGTACATTCATGATGTCAGTGAGTGTGAACAGCTTTACTCAGCTGTTATTGCTAGAATTACACTGCCCCAAATCTGTTGCTGTAAATAATTTAGATTTTTTATGTAATGTATCCTTCTACTTTACCAAAATTCATAGAAAGTCTATCGTTTTCTAGCGTTTCCCAGTCATGTATTTGTAAAACTGCCCCAAAACTGTCGGGGTCAGAGGTCACTCACTTGTTGCCAAGCTCCCTCTCCGTGACGACGACCTCTTCCACTCTCCAGAAGGCTTCCGTCTTGTTCTTCTTGCCATCTTTGGGGCTGTGGCCCAGGCAGATGCTGGCAATGTCTCCCAGGTTCTTAGAGGAAAACTCAAACCTGTCTCTGGCACCACTACAAACAAACACAAAGCAAATGGATAATTCTAATATCATTGCAGATATTTTATAAAATTGAAATCATTTCATTGAATGCAAGATAGACATGGTCTTGGCGATTATGTCAATTAAATGAGCATCTTAATGAGCAGTGGGTAAAACAGGTGTGAATATGCTGGTCATAAGTTTAGTTCAGAGAGAATGGCAGTCTTGTCTCATCACAACTGGTCTCCTCAAACACTTGATGGGATAAATTTGATTTCTCACCCTGGTATAAAGCTTGACTCACAAGTAGACACCATGAAAAGATCTTAAAGAAAGGGGTTTTCATTACAGCCCCTGGGTCAGTCCACATCTTTGTTGTGTTTCATTTCCTAACAGGGAGGTACGTAGTCACTGTTCTACACTGGTGGTATTCAAAACAGTCATCAGAGACCCCTAGGTGGTCCATTTTTGCTCCATCTTCCAACATACAGGGATAGAGGAAAAATGTGGATCATTTGGGGACCCTGGGGACTGTTTTGTACTGGGGCAGTTGTGGGATGGAGGTTAGGGAACGAGCCCTGTGACCAGAAGGTCACCGGCCCGATCCCCTCAGCCAACAGTACGTGAGTGAAGTGCCCTTGAGCAAGACACCTAACCCCCAACTGCTCCCCGGGCACTGCGGATAGGGCCACTCACCGCTCTGGGCAAGCGTGCTCACTGCCCTAGTGTGTGTGCGCTCACTAGTGTGTATGTGGTGATGGGTAAAATGCAGAGGTGAAATTTCCCTGTTGGGGGATTAATAAGTGCCTCTTAATCTTTTGAGAACCACTGTTGGCCTTGATTATCTTGGTCAAGTGTGTTTGGAGCTATAACAGAATGAAACTGTGGACTGAATGTGGTCTCCAAGTACCGGACTGACAACCCCAGGTCGAAAGCATATACCATGATGTTAATGAAGCATGAGGCAATTTACTTGTGTCACTTGGCTACTTTCAGGAGCCGTGAAACATTCCAGGGCACTCTTTACCGTAGGAATCGTTTCTTCTTGGTGGAGTTCTCCATCACCAACTCTTTGGACCTTCCTTTCTTTCCCTCCAGAATGATCCAGGCGTTCTCTTTGGTCTCTGCATCGTCCGTGTCCGCAGTCGTCGTGATCACCTCGTACTCTGACAGAGAAGAAAGTGTTGACTTAGAAGCATGACCAACGTGAAGGTTGAGACTCATCAGTGAGTTATCATTGTGAGTCTCAACTGTTTCTAGAGGCTTCTGCTGATTTTCTGGCCTCACTTTACCAATTGAATAGGGCGCTCTGGAGCAACCACAGCCTAAGGTCAGCGTGCTAAGCGTGGCGCCAAGCATGAGGGATATAAAGCCCCCCAGCATTGGGCTGTGGAGCAGTGGAGCTGTGTTCTCTGGAGTGACTGAACTGAAATCCAATACCACTGGGATGAGTTGGAGTGATTCAGAACTGATCATCCAACATCAGTACCTGACCTCACTAAAGCTCAATCAAATCCTCACAGCAATGTTCCAACATCATAGAGTAAAGCCTTACCAGAAGAGTAGAGGCTGTTACTGCAGCACAAACTCACTATTAACACCCTTCATTTCAGAAGGAATGCTGGACAAGCAGGTGTCTTCAAACCTTTGGACATACAGTGTATGTTTGTGAGTGTTTAAGTATGCAAATGGTTTCCTCACTGGTTTTCTCATCAAAGTCCAGCACGTCATTGTTGGCACAGGCAACCTCCCTCATGATCTGGCCGTCGTCCTCGTTCTTGGCCAGCCAGCGGTCACACTGGAACCTGAACTTCTTCCCCATGATGTCATCATGCACATCCACGTACTCCAGATGCCATCCGGGAGCAGGACCTGCTCAGAGCACAGTGTGACTTTCACTCATTGTCACCCTTTCACATCAGATGTTGTTTCTTATTTGGAGGGCTCGGATTGGCTCACCTGTGTTGTCATGCCACACCCGTATTTTGGAGAGCTCTCCGAGGCTGAGAATATCCGCGAAGCGGAACGTGTCAGTCTGCTTGCGCTCAAACTTGTTGGTGTTGCTGCTCTCTTTCAGAGCAAGAGTTCCAGTGTCTCCGTTCTCTCCGAAAATAATCATCCACACGTTAGCATCTGTTCCCGCCCCTAAAACATAAACATAAGCCAAAAACATTCTGAGTTTGAACGAGAGCTTATATGAGAGCTACAATCACTGATTCTATAGTAGCATACAGCTGCAGCTGGGCTTCAGCCTCCACTACTACGGATGGTTTAATGGGTCAAATGAGGGAAATGTGTTAACAATGTTAGAAAAACGTATACTGTTCATATTTTAGTGTGTTCATTTGTTATTAATGCATTAACGCAGACAGCCCCGTGCAGCATACTGTCGCTGTCGGACGATATATCTCTACTTTGATGTTTTCCTGTCTACCAGCTGCCGTTTACAATCAACCAATAGAAACAGGCTTTGTTCTGACAGTGACGATACGAGTTGTGTACCTGCAGCATCACTGGTTTTGACTGAGATGGTGTAAATGGTGAGTTCCACCATTTCTTCTTCATCGATTACTGCAGGCATCTCACACACGAGTGTGTGCTTGGATCCGTACGTCCGGGACAGCCACTCCTCATACGTGAACGCGGCCTCATCATCCGTTTCCAGGTTATGCAGAATAATCTACACACATAAACATAAATGCACGTGATGTACACTGGATCGGTGATGAAGACAGGACAGCTCTAGAACGTTGTTTCCAGCTCCAGTGCAGAAGACCACTTGCACGGCACAGTTTTGTGTTTTTCATTTGCCTGAATCACATCATTAACTGATGATCGAGTCCTTCTGGAGCTGAAGCAGGTGTGTTAGAGCAGGAAAACCATATATATTACATGTTCTGCATTCTATGTAACAATGTTTATCTGTATCCCTGTCAAATAAACAAATAAAATACAAATGAATAAAGTTACAGGGCTGGAAACACAGTCATCACTGGTGATGAAAATGTAGTTTACCTTTGGTTTACTCAACCATGCTGGTACTGTTGAATCTGAAAGCTGAATTCTATCCAAACCCACACTAAAAGAGATGGATTGTTGCTTGTACTACAGAAAAATCAGGCATTAGAAAACAAATCAGAGCCCAGCCCAGATTTGATGAAAAGTACGATGGTGTTTTAGGGCCACTGTTAATAAAAAATAAAAATAGTAGACTTCGAGAATAAAGTCATAATATTTTGAGAAAAAAAGACGTAATATTTGGAGGATAAAGTGGGCTAACTATAGGGGGGCTGCCATAACGCGTTGGGGTCTCGGTTGCTGTACTGGTGCCGGAGCTCCACTCACTCCTGTCTCTCTGTGGATCATTTTGATCATCATTCTCACTGTCTGTGAAACTTCATGCCCTCTTTGAATGGGGGGAGATGGAGCCCCGATAGCCGTGTAGACGACCCTGCCTGAGATTCTCCTTCAACAACACAGACAGACAGTTTCCTCCGAGTCCGTCTGGCTCTTTATTCTAGATAAACACAGTTTCCTGCTCAGCTGTTTCAGCCGGTTCTTATACTATAACAGGCTGGTGCTGATGTGCAGGAGAGACAGGGAGACTGAGTGTTTCTTTATGGGTGAATCGATATGAAAGTATAACTCCACCAACTCAGCGCCCCTCGTTTAACACGAGGAGGTGCTGCCTTCACTTTGCAAAGCCTTTGGCCACAATATTGCAACCTTTCTTGGTATTAATGACACTTTAATGTCGTAATTCTATGACTTTTTTCTTGAAATATTACAACTTTTTTCTCGACATATTACGACTTTATTCTTGAAGACTACTATTTTTATTTTTATTAACAGTGGCCGAAAAGAGCCGTCATAGAAAAGTGACTGCTGTTTGTCAAATAAAAAACATTGAAAACCTTTTGAAAAAAATGGATCATTCTACCAAATTGGTTCAAAGATTTTTTAGAGCTGAAAACAAATTTGGGACTTTTAACTGACTTGGACTTCAGACCAAAATCCTTTTGCTTTGAGTGACCCTGTACGTTTATTATATTTATTTTATTAAAATTAACATTTGAACATTCCATTTTTTCTATTGCTGTAACTTTACCAAATGTTTCAGTAGTGACTGTTTCGGTAGTGACAGTTTTAACTCTACTAGCAAGTACATGACTAGCAAACACAGCTTTGAACAGTACACATATGACATCATCATGTTTTTCATTAAGACAAAAAAAGTTAACTCATTGCAGAAAATCTGTGTTTCGGTTGTGACAATTCTTAATGTTCCGCACTGATTTTCAGACTTTGGGACACATTTACTTCAAAACAATGGAATCTAACTGCTCACCATGTGGCCATGAGGGACAGGGATGCAGCCTCACTTCCTGCTCTGAAATACAGGGGCGTGGCTAAAATAAGGCTCCACCCACATCCTAAAACTCTCTGGTTTGATAGTGATGCAAACGTGGGACAACATTTTTTGAATATTTTTTTTTTTATTTAAAAATTAAACTAAAGATAAATCTAAATCTTTTAACTTTAAAAGAAATTGTATGAAAGAAAACAGAGAAAAAAATTGGTATGTATTTAGCTTATTACTATCTCAATTAATCCCTTAAATGTTTTATTGCACACGTATGTATGTATCTATGTCTTAAATTATGTAATCTGCTTGATTTGATTAGAATATCAAAACAACAATAATAACTCTAGACTACTAAGTGTTAAAGGAAGATAAGCATAAATGCACTTCTGTGCTGAAAAAGAAGACACACACACCTTATCCAGGAACCAGTCAGGTCTACTTCCAGTGCCGTCAATGCGGACTCTCATTTTCCTGAGTGGAGCGATGTCCTCTATTTCCACATTGAAAGTGTCAATCTGCCCTCGCTCAAACCTAAACACACACACATCCACATGGACATCAGCCTATTTTCCCCTCTTAAGAGCTACACAGCTAACAACATCACATCACACAGTGTGAGTGAGCGAACATAGTTTCAGGACAGATTTGTTACAGTATTCATACTTTTACTCCCCACCAGTTCATACTCAGCATTTCTTGCAGATATGGGCCCAATACTGAGAGCCAGTGCATGCCTAGGTGATGGAGTGGGTACCTGTCCTCTAATTTAGGCAGTAGGATCTCTTCTGATGTGCCGTAGGTTCCAAACACTGTGATGTAGATCTGAGAGTCTGTTCCGGCATCCTGGACATCCCCTGTTACCACGGTTACCTCGTAAATCACCTAGTGGGTGAGAGGAGGAACATGTGAGGCCACAGTTGACCTGGGGTTTATGGCATTTACCCCAAATTCATCATGATTAATGAAGTAAGGCTTTACAGAGGAGCAGAGTTATAAGGATTGCTGTATACAGTACTGTATACACACACCGTACAGCTTGAAATACAGTTGTATGTAAAGTTTGAACACCCCCAGTCAAATGACATGTTTTGTTGATTTTCTAGGTGACAATAAGTTAACATTTTCTCTACAGGGGACTTAAATATCTCATTTTTCAGCACATTTTAGTGCATAATTTCTATTTATTTGAGTTTAAAATATATAAAAATATAGCACATATAAAATTTGCCTTCATTTTTGCACTGGCCACACTTCATGTTTTTTTTTCCAGCAAATAAACAGACATTGTGCATTAAAATGTGCAGAATTGTGTTGTCTGCAGAGGACGTCTTCACTCATTTTCAGTTAGAAAATCAACAAAATATGTACGACTGTATTTGTCTAAATCTGATGGAGCCCCGGCTGCTCACACTGGGTTTGGTCCGGTTCGGACATCAGTTCCAAACTGTGTGTTGGGCTCAGGTCGGGTTCATATTTTACGTTCAGGTTCCGCAGCCCACCTTCCCCTCCCTTTGTTTTTTCTCTTCATTTTATCCTTCTTTTTCAAAACATGATGACATGGGTCAGGGTTGGTCTTGGTTCAAGTTCAGGATCAGAATTTAGAGCTGTGGTTTGAGTCTGGTCAGGCTCGGACAAAAACTGTCAGGTTGTGTTCGGGTTTGTACCAACATTTCTTGTGCACAGTATGATCAGTGAGGACCAAATTAGTACATTTTTGTTGCTGTTGTTTAAATGTAGTGATTTTTTTTGTAATCGTCTTTTCTTGTAATAGAAATGAACTGGGATAATTTTAGCTGCAGTCTGGCTTAAACATGTCTAGTAAAAGCCAAAGAGAGGTGCCACTAACTAAGAGAAGCCTAGAAATGTGTCTTAATGTGGATTCACCAGTTATGACCTTTGATTTTCAGAAAGGAAGCCTGCTCTTTTCAGACACTTTGGAGGGATCCTACAAAACGGGACAGCCTCCAGTGAAGTAACAGCCAAGAGAAGCAGCCTTTCTGGGCTATGTGCTTGTCTTGGTGGCAGAGCTGGTTTGGACTGTGCCAGCGTGTGTACGTACGTACCTTGCGTGATATGCTAACAACCTCTGCATCCAACACGTTGAAGATTCGGGCGGTGAGTCCATCCCCCCTGTCTTTGGCCAGCCAGCACTTGCATGGGAACACGTACATCATGCCTTTGGTTGGCACGGCAACTGAGATTTCCTCCACCAACCAGCAGCTTTCAGGGGTAGCGCCATCATGACCCAGCTACACACACCACACACCACAATCACCTTTCCTGCTTTCTTGAGTGTGTATGTTCGTGTGCATCTGTTGAAGTATTTATACTACAGGCCAAAAGTTTGTAACACTGTTTTAAAATAAACATAACTTAAAATAACTTTTTTTTTCCCAAGACTTGAACAGTGAACAGTAATATATATATATATATATATATTAAGAACATATTACTCTGACCTTCTTCAGTTTACATGGGCTTGCTGTTAAAATATATCTGCTAGGGATGCACCAATACTGATAGCAAGTACTGATACCAATACTAAACCTATTGAACCTAACAAATTCTGACATTTATACAAGTCCACTTTAAATATTTTATTTTGGAAACAGCTGCATTCTGCGTCACAAATAAAACATGCTAAGCTTGAAAGAATGTTATTTACGTGTGGTTTACATGTGTATATAGCCCACCTAGGCTAAAGGCTTGCGATACCCCAAGAGACTGGCCATTCCTTCCATAAACCTCTATAATGGTTACCAATGGTTAACCTCTATAATGGTTACCATTAAGATGTTTTGCATTGTTTGTATGCTGTTAACTGGCTTATTTGTGGCATATCAGTGAAAGTAATACTTTAGGAAGAATTCTAGCTGGTCTATCACCCCCTACTATTGCCTCCTCTCAAAATACTGGCGTTGCAAATTTTTTCATGAGCATTTTTACTACTAGTCATTCCACACTACTAACATATTGCTTGCTGTAGATTCATTAACTGGCACACATGCACACTTCATTACATCATGGTATTTTCTTGATTGTAATCTATTGCTGATACCATTACTGTGTTTAAATGCTAGTATCGGTGTCGATATCAATATGGTATCTGTGCAACCCTAAGCTTACTTTCATAGCTTTGGCCTGTAGTGTACATGTACATATTAGTATGTATTTAAGTATATATGTGTGGTCTTCACCTCCATGTTTTTGATCTCCCCAACATCTGTCCCATAGCAGGTGAAGTAATCCAGCGCTCCAGGCAGGAAGCCACTCTTCCCTTCCAGGTCTAGCCACAGACGCTCTGTCTCCTTCTGTTTAGTTCCCTTAATGATGACATAAGCACGACTACAGGTCCCTGCGTCCCGGTCTGAACCCGTCACCAGCGACAGGTGATATGGAATAACTACACACACAGACATACACACTCACATAGTCGTATGGGATATGGAGTTTAACGATTCACAAAAAGCGTAATTTGATTTGATGCAGCAAAAATAAGGATTGGCTGCAACACAATACAATACACTGTGATACAATGCAATACAGCATGTTACACTATAGGGTTAGGCAGCACGACGATAATACGGTATACTACGGTATGCAAAAATGATGATGGTGTTTAAAAATGATGACGTGTCAAACTTTTCCATGATTGTTCCATATCTGAATGGATAAATAAACACATTCCACCCATTTAGATGTAGAGGGCTCACTGATTGGTGGTGCGGGAGCTCACTGATAGGATAGAAAGAGGGGGGAAACCATAGATATACATACATAGATGCTGCATTGGGTTCAGCCAGGCATGTCAACAGCTCCGCCATTTTGGGGCGGTCAACATCACTGCATTCTATACCATTACAGAGTAGCAGGTAAAAATAAAGGTACTATCCAGAATTATACTATTTCAAGAATATTTCACTCAGAAAGTGGGACAGGATTATATAATAGAGAGAACGCAACAGTCGACACTCAATGTTTGTGTGATGTTTCTGTGCAGATATGACTCACAGGTGTGATTGTTTTTTTACTGGTTTTATAAAAGCTATGAGCTCCATGCAACCTAAATTAAACTACGTCTGAAGAATACAACAAAACAAATTTGGTGACATTCGGTTGGGTAATAAGGAAGTTATGGCCAGTTTAATCCTGAGAACTCATCATATTTCAGTATTCAGTGAATTTGTCCACAAGCGGATCTTGGCCATTCCAACATGGCGGACAGCAGATGTATCACGTCAGACAGAGAACAACAACGCGACATCTACGTATATGTATATCTATGATGATAATTAGCAGCTCAGCCATGGCAAAAAGCTACACGCATCAGAACCACACATTCTCTGAATACTCCATAGAACACGTTTGATTAGTCACTCTTTTTTTGCTCTCTTAAACATTTTTATCATCTAAATCTGAGTCACTAATTTTCAGAATGAAGCCTTTACTGTGACAGCTGGTTCTGCAGCCTGCTCAACAAGCTAACATTAAGGTAGCATGTCAGGCTAAAGATCCTAACACCACAGAACAGGCTTAATTTAGCCATTCTGTCCTTTCAGCGGCTGCTCAACTTCACTCTCTCAGATTGTAATCATTATTAAACTTTGTGCTTTAGTTAGCCAGAATCAAACATGTTCTGTGGTGGGCAGAGCTGTTACCTAACGCTATCCAGCACCACTCTCCTGTTAGTAGCACTGTTAAACATTTATCAGTTGTTTGATAGATGCTTTGACATTTATTAAACAATGGCATGAAAATTGTGCACTGTGTTGACTTATTTGGTAACCACGAGACAGCAAAAAGCGTCCCCCCGGCGCTCTTCTTCCACTCTGGATGACTGTTTACAGTGCATGATGGCTAACGCAGTTTCACTGAAATTAGGTCATTTCTGCCCTATGGGTCTCCGAGTTACTTAATCAAAATATGGAATCATTAAAATATTGTCAGATATTATTTTATCTTGAGATATTTTTTTCGGTATCTGCTGCGGCAGTCTCACCTGGTCCTCTAGCAAGGTATGCTGCATCTAAGGAGGAAGGGCGCTTATTATTTATTCATTATTCTATGGGCCATAAGTATATAAACCCAGAAAGACTTGTCTGTGTAGGCTAATTCCATATAAGATACACAGCATTGTAGGATAGATGGTGTCATAAATGCAACAATGAGTGCGTTTACATGCACTCAGTAATCTGATCATAATTGGATTTCTGCAGTTATCCGATTATTCAAATTATAAGTAAAGTCAGAGTAAGTAAACTCTTTCGAATTTCCCAGTCTGCGCATGTGCAAGCATAAGCAAGCCGTGTTGCTGCAAGATGGCAGCAAAATGCTTTCGGAGCGACGCTGAAATCAAACACGAAGTGAAAGATTTAAATATTCTTCATGTTCTAGATGATGTATGTTCATATTTTCAGGTAAAGTGGCTCAATGTTTTAATAAAAAAACCAACGGCGTGAAGTTTTACATTACATATCTTACGTCTTCTTCTGTGAATTTATTGGCTGGTTGCAAAGAAGAAATCTGATTACTGTCTGACTCATGTAGACCTGGGGTTTCCCATTATCTGAATACTCAAAAGTGCACGTAAACGCGTTGATTGGAAGAACTCACAGAAGAAGACATGACATAAACGTAATGTAAAACTCAAACCGCGTGCTGCAACTTTTTTCTTTTTTTTTTTTTTTAACCATGTATTTGTTTTCAGCGTTGCTCCAAAAGTATTTTGCTGCATCTCGCAGTTTCCAGTACCACTGTTTTCACACATGCGCAGACTGAGAAATCCGAAAGAAATCAGAGTAAGAATTTACATGCACTGAAGTGCATAGAAAATGTAGAAAAACACAAGACAAATGTAGAAAAATGTGTACAGAAATATGACTACTGCCTGACTTATGTAGACCCGGAGTTACCCCATTATCTGGTTACTCAAGTCCATGCAAACATGTGGATCAGATTCCTGACAAAATCTGATTTTCTGCAGTTATCGGATTATTAAGTGCATGTAAACGCACTCATTGACCTCTGTTGCCAGCAGCTCAGCTTATGTGTGGTTTTGTTATTTTTTTTTAAACTCAATTACAATCATATACTGTATACCCCGGTGAAATGAGGGTAAGAAAAAACAGATACTGCCCAAGTCTATAATGCTGCCAAGCAATACAATACGATATGCTCCAATATACTGTTACACTGCCACACAATGTGATACAATACGATACAGTGTGATGCGCAGTGATACAATATGTTTCATATTGTATCGTATAGTGTAACAACACAATGCACAGTGATACAATTCATTACAAGGCGAGACTGTTATGCCACACAATTCAATACAATACAATACGATACATTACCATTCATTATGATATGATACAATACGATATGCTGTAACACAATTCAGTACCATGCGATACAGTATGTTATGCTGTCACACAATTTGATACAATACTATATGTTGTACTGTTACAAGTATACTGTAAAGCAGTGTGGCTCTAAGAAGTGTTGACTGGAAGTTTTATATGGGTTTCTTGTTTTTTTCATGACTGTATTGGTGTGTGCGTTTGCTCACCTGAACCCTCTTCTTCTTCCTCCTCTGCATCTTTTTTCTTATTCTTCTTGTTCATGTTGCTGTCCAGGTTTGTCACTTTCTTTATAGGACAGAACGCAGTTTCTCTTTCTCCCTCAAAACCCTACACACACACACACACACACACACACACACACACATGTTGAGCTGCTAGCAAGCAATGAGGGGCAAAAGGGGAGGGGTGAGAACCGCTTGCTGTGAAAACAAGTGAAAATAATCACAATAAAAACCAGCATTTAAACACAACAACAGTTTATAAATGTTGATTTGCTTGCTCACGTATGATTTAAAAATCTCTGATTTGTAAATTATTCCCATTTCCATGGAAATATTTTAAAATGCACAGCGTAAAAACCAGGGACCTCCAAAACAGGTGGAAATTGGATATGATGGCGACTGAAAAGGGGCTAATTTGCGGGTATTTACATGAATATGTGGTGATCACATAGGGTCAGGGTAGTTTTAAAGAACAGGAATCATCACTGTCCAATCAGTTATGAACCGCACTGCATGTAAACGCAGGGAGAGGAATGGTACGTTTTAACTGAAGCCTTTAATCAGAACACTCTTCACGCGCTCACCTTGACGTAGAAGACTCTGTCGATGCGCTTGTCTTCTCTCTTGCGGGAGAGCCAGCGCTCACACTGGAAGAGAAACACCTCATCCGTATCCGTGTCAATGATCTCCACCTGGTCCAGGTACCAGTCTGCGCTCAGCATGCTGTTGTCATGGCGGATGCGGATCTTAAACACCTGACCCAGGTCCACCGCTTCAATGCTGAACGTGTCCACCTGATCGATTAGAATCACAGTCACAGTGAACAGTTAACATGAAGGTTAACTGTTAGGGGTTACTAGAACGACTATCATGATAAAACAGAAGTATTGCTGTGGGGTGGTAAGGTCCAATCACATTTTTAGCCCTACCTCTTGGAACTGAATTACAGGGTAGTGGTTGAAATCTTCCTCTATGAAATGGGACCCTCAAATAGAAAGTGCATTACTTCATTAACAGCTACTAGCGCTGCTCTGTAGGCGACCCTGCCAGTCTGCAGTGACAGCAGAGGAGGGTAAAGTTCAGCTCCTCACTGCTGGGCTTTAGTTACATTTAGGGCATCATATGCCTTCAAAGGGGGGGGCAATTATTTATTATCACCCACCCTTAATTCTTCAGTGATATGAAGCTGAAGTCAGATATTCACCACCTTCTTGTTCGAATTTTCCCGTTTCACTTTAAATAGAGCAGCAATTACATTCTGGTTCTCATTCTTCAGAACTGCTGGACTATTTAAGGTGGCATGTAGTCCTAACACTTCACCCTACCCCTTTATCTCAACAAAAAATCAGGACACCCTACCACTACACGTGAACGTGCAAAACAGAGGGCTAAGGGCTATGTTGTAGGGGCAAGGAGTGAAATGGGATTAAAAAAAAGTTGCAGCTTATATCCTTGACTTTTATGTTTTTTCAGTGCCACCGAAAACATAGTACAGTTGAAGACCTTGGTGCAATGCTGGATTGGATGTCTGTTTAACCCCTTAAAAGGCCATGACCCACCGGCAGGCCCAAGGTTTTATTACACATAATTATAACTAAGAATAGCTCAGCCAGTTTACACTGAAGTCCCTGTAGTTAATGAATAAGCCTTGGTGTGTAGTAAGTAAGTAAATTATCCTTTATTAATCCCACAACAGGGAAATTCACCTCCGCATTTAACCCATTAATGCAGTGAAACACCCACATACACACTAGTGAACACACACATTGGGGGCAGTGAGCACACTTGCCCAGAGCGGTGGGCAGCCCTATCCACAGCACCTACGGAGCAATTGATGGTTAGGTGCCTTGCTCAAGGGCACTTCAGTCATGACCTCTCAGCTCAGAGGATTGAACCGGCGATCTTCCGGTCACAAGGCTGGTTCCCTAACCTCCAGCCCACATCTTTTTAAGTATGGCAATGCCTAAAGTTGTGTGATTGTCTCACCGCTCCTCTCTCGAACTTGTTCCTGTTGTTCTCGGACTTGCTGAGTTTGCGCTCCCCTGTGTCCCCCATGTCTCCGTATATGGTGATGAAGACATTTGCATCAGTGCCTGCCCCGTACACGTCGCCCGTAGTTACAGCAACAGAGTATGTATGGGCTGAACACACAAGCACAATGTCCTATTAGTGTCTATACATACTATAACCAAAGTTTACAGTGCACATTACTGTAGTTTTCAACATAAACATACATAATATACCCAATGCATACAACATATTCCACATGCCCAATAATATTAACTGAATACATATAGAATCTCACATGACTATTCACATGATTGACATGACTGTTGACATTAGTATTGTCATACTGATCATGTATTTACTCTTTTACAGCCACATACAGCTGTATGCTGTATTGCCTATAGTCACTTCCTGCTTTTTGTTCTGCATTTTGCTGTATTGTGCGCTGCATTAGCAATACTCTACGTTTACATGTAGTTGCACTCAGACTGCATATTTGTATGTTCTTACAGCCAAAATAAAGTCAAACTGAACTACCACATACTCTCCAGTGCGTCGTCCACTTCGGTCTCGATGACTTTGAGGGTTCCGTCTCTGGACAGCTTCTCGATGATGATATCAGAGGGAACCAGTTCTCGAATCGTCTCCCCATCATCCTCTGAGCGCGCTAACCAACGATCACATGGAAATATGGCGGTCTCTGAACCCTATACACAAACACAAAGATATGTGTACGAGGCTAACGTCGCTAACACACTATAAGTCAATAGTCACCCAAATCTTTTCTGTAAATACGTGACACAAAAAATAGATTTTTTGTAAGTGAGCCCTTTTTCAGTCCGAGCAGTTGTGATGTTACGAATGCATGGATGTGCAACATATTCATCATTATGAGTTATGAAATAACGACAGTTTAGGAGGAGGATAACACCTCAGGCTCCTCCTCATCAAGGGAGGTCTGGCCTTCTAGGAATGTTTGTAATTTCTTTGAAAATCAGTAAAGCAGGTTTACCACTAAAAAAGCCTCATTGACTGGGAGTAGATCTGTCTGGCATGAGGGCATTAGTGTTGGTTACACCCGCTGGCATAGCTCTTGCTTTCCGGCTTCAGGCCTGTCTGCTGTCCAGGAGATAACAGTAGCACAGACAGTACGGGTCACAGACCAGCAGCCAGTGGAACTAATTATGTACAGACAGACAGGCGGGGTAGACAGACGGACCGGGCAGGGAGACGAGCTGGGCACAGAGCACATGTGGGTCAATGGAATGGGTGGATTGCAGCCACCAAACAGAATAAAGAACCACCCTAAATGCCAGCCAGGAGAATTCTAGACCGCTGCTGTTCCAGAAGTCTGGGTCACCGGAACTTGACTTCAGGAATTCTGATCTGTCTGTAAGAATTAAGAATTGAGTCTTAGAATTTTGAGCTGTTTTTTGGAATTCTGACTGAACTGTTGGATTTCTAAACAAAGTGAACTGTCCAAAAACTCATTGTTCAAATATTAGAATTATTGGCTGACCACTGGAATTCTGAGCGAACTGTTAGAATTCTGGCTCAGCTGTTGGAATTCTGATGCAACTTTTGTCATTCTTAAATGACTGTTAGAATTCAGAGCCAGCATACTGTTACAGAACTTCAATTAGAATTCTGGACTGACTGTTGGAATTCTGAGCAAACTGCTGGAATTCTGGGTGACTTTTGGAATTCTGATCTGACCTTTTGAATTCCAATCTGGCTGTTGGAATTATGACCTGATTCCTGGAATTATGGGATGTCTTATTGGATTCTGTTATGACTGTTAGAATTCTGAGCAAACTGTTGGAATTCTGAGTAAACTGTTGGAATTCTGAGTGAACTGTTGAAATTTTGGCCCAACTGCTGGAATTCTGGGTAAATTATTGTAATTTTGAATTTTATAATTAAATATTTTGAGTTTTTTTTATTCTGATCTGGCTGTTGGAATTATAGCTTGACTCTTGGAATTATGGACCGGACTGTCTTGTGGAATTCTGACTCAACTGCTGGAATTCTGAGCCAGTATATTGTTACAGAACTCCATCACAACGGAATGTGAATTTTCCCAAACTTTACACCCCACTCATACTTCATCATATACCAGCCTTCAAAAGAACAGTACTACATGATATACATTTACTGTCCATTGACATATATTAATATTATCCATGACATTTGACTTCTTGAACACTAAAGAATGAATTAAAGAGAAGATTATGACAGCGGTAGTTTAGAAACCTTTCAGTGTGGGTCAGTTTCTCCAGAGCAGTGCAGAGTGGACTATATTAACGGTGAGTGACATGTTTAAATTAGCCTCTCGGTGGCTAGAACAGACCTCCATACCTTTCCTTTTCTCAGCAGTCTCCTGATCTCCACCCTGTCGAGGTGCCAACCCCCGTTCACACCACGGTTATCATGACCAATCCGGATCTTTTCGATTATGTCACCTATATCTTCCAGCTGCAGACAGAGATTTCAACACATTCGACATAATACAACAATTATTATCATACAAGTTTTAAAATAAACTAAGTTGTAAAAGTACCAAAAAGTAAATCACAATATTTGTTTGTGAGTTTTACCTCTACAATGAACATATCCTCCGCTCCGCGCTCAAAGTACATGCGTCTTTCTCTCTTGTTGACACAGAGAGATTTCTGAGATGTACACACCCCGTTCTGGCCGTAGAGGACAATAAAAACATCAGCGTCCGTCCCCGCCGCAAAGATATCACTGGTGAAGATCTTAATCTCATATGGAACATCTGGAACATGAGAGCAGGACAGTTTAGATGGTGTAGGATCACCCACAACACCAAATGTACAGTAATGTGGTCTCTCTCTCTCTCTCTCTCTCTCTCTCTCTCTCTCCTTTCAATCATACATGTTAGTTGTTATTTCACATGCTAATTTTTGCTCAGTGTACTCTAGTTAGCCATCATGCATCAAACATTATGGTCATACATCATGATAATTAATGGTAATGGTAACATGGACCTGTTATATGTGTAATGACAGCATGTTTACGGAATGGTTACGTCAACGTTCTGTAGCAGAGTTTAGGTAAAGTGTTACACCGCTAAAATAATATCTGGTCAACAGCGTTCCTGTTGTCCGAAACTGACCGATGATACCTATATACTATCATATCACAGGCATAGTTCTAGGTAGGCCTGGGTGGGACTACACAATCAAAGGGGGATGGAATATTTCATAAACTGCAATTTTGTAAGATAATAAATTGATTTGCTGTCTGTGAGTGCTGTCATTGTATTACGGCCAATCAAATCATTACGCTTTCCACTAAGCTCTGCCTTATTGTCTCAGCCCTGCAATTACTGCTTAGCAAACGTTGCAGTCCAACATTGCTTTAAACCTTCAGTTTGTTATTTGAGTGCTAGGGCTTTGAGTTGCACTCAAAAGATGTACCTATGGGATCTGAAAATGGGATCCTGTCCCATAAAATCATTCATAAACATTTTCCTGACTGCCACGGCGGTATGCTTTACCCTAAGATGATAGGAGGCTTAGGCTTTTAAGCTTGCTATGTTGTCTCTCCTGTCTTTGTACATTTCAGCTCTCTGATATTAACTCCGTTATGTCGTCATCATCGGGCTAAAGTTTTGTCTGTTGCAAGTGGACAATTGCTTTATATTTTGGTTGGATTTATGTCAAACCAGTATTCCATTTGATTGCTACTGTTTTGCATCACCATAGGGCAGAGGTATTGCAACAGGTAGGGTTATGACTGCACTGCTGTCAGGACATCGCGGGACAATGCACATTCAAATTGAAATAGCCTTCCCACTATTTTACAGGCCTACCCAAAAATGCATTTCTGCCTAAGCCACTGAGTTATGTGCAAAAGTGTAGGTGCCCCTGGTCAAATGACGTTTTGTTGATTTTCCGAGTGAAAGTAAGTGAACACATCCTCTACAGAGAATACACTTCTGCACATTTTAATGTGCAATTAATGTTTAATTACTGAATTTACATATCGGGGGGAGGGAACAAAACAGAACGTGACCTGAGCAAAAGTTCTGGTACATTTTATATTTTACATTTTATTACTTTCCAATATGTTTATCTCAGCAATTAAACAGCAATTGTGCACTTTTGTTCATTTTCACATAACAAAAGTCATTTGACCAGGGGTGTTCAAATTGTAGTGGACCTATAAGGGTGCAGCTCATCAAGTGGTCACTGGAAGGTACAGGTAGAAGTACTAGGTAGTAACTGTGATGATCTAAATGCGGTGCAACTAAATGTCTGTGTGGCATACAGGGTGTGTATAGCTCTGTCTGCAGCTCGTTAGGGTACAGGTCTCTAACAATGGCTCCATCGTCCTCTCCTTTGTCCAGCCAGCGGCCACATGGGAAGTGCAGACGCTGCCCCAGAGATGGAGCATCGATCACTACCCAGTCCAGAAACCAGCCTGGAGAACCACCTGATACACATACACCAAAATGGACACACACACATATGCATGCACACATACACTGTAAATAATTGTCTGTAGTATTTTACACCAAGGCTGCCAAATCCAGGGATTCAACAGAAAACAGAAACTTGCTGTAAACCAGTTACAGCAACTTACTGTGCAAACAGTAAATCTTTTCTTGAACAGCTCTAGTCAATAATTTGCTGCAGCATCTACCAGATATGTATGACATCATCAATGATGCACAGATTTTACCAGTGCCGGGTGGGTACTCAGGAGAGTCGGGAGAATTCCTGGTGGGACGGTAGCGTTTTGGGGCACTTACTGTGAGCTAATGAATAAACTCACACATAGAAACACAAGAACACTCAGAAAAACTATACATGCTACATCCAAGTGTGTATGTGTAGTAATTTAAGGGTTAAACCAGCAAGACCTGCAGAAAATGGATGAGGACATATCCGAGCAGGTGGGCAGTGAGAAATGTTGACGGGACATTATTTGAAGTTACTTAGCTAACGTTGGCATTGTTTGACTGTCAAGTCCCACTTCGGCCCTGGATTTCATGAATGCCTCTGTACACACTCACAGCTACACATGGAGCTACGCCAACATACTATATAAGGCATTCACCTTCGATGTATGATGATGTACCCAGTCTGAGTTTGAGTACACAAATATTCATTAATGTTTATGCATCAGACATGAGGGCTATACATATCTTAATGTGCAGTCAAATCCATGGTGACCGCCCTTCAAGTAAAGTATTACTGTGAAAGACAACCTACCAGATACATTATATTTCCACGTTTCATTTATTTGATTGATGATATTAAAGTAATAATCTGTAAGTAGACACAACTATTCTACACATTTTTCCCATTTAAAACAAAGTCTAAGATTAGGTAATATACTACTTCACTAAGGCAAGACACTACAGGTGAACTGGGAAATTAAGAAAAATATATATATCACAATATTTATTTGCAGGTTGATTACTGACCTTCTATGAGTGTTTTTTGCACTTGAAGTTTTCCAAAACATTACATTTGGATATGCTTATGAGATTGCACAAATCTAGTCTTTAGGTGATGTTAGAATTGAATTAAAAGTACTGGAATTTCATTCCTTTCTTGTTTATTCAAGTAAAAGTACACTTTTCGTTGTTATTATAAAATGTTTTTCAGGTACAAAATTGTTTTATTTATAGTACACAGTCTAGCATAAACCCAGCTATTAGCAATATATTAAGAAATCCTTCTGTAATATCCTTCATAGCAGGTTTAGGAATGAAAGTGTGGAAATTCAAAAATCCAGGTATTCTATAAATTGATTTTTTTTGTTTCTGAATGTAGAGAAAAGCTGTGAAAACAAAAGGATAATTTCAGCAATCTTTAAAAATTTCCTCATACTTAAATGATTACAATGTAAACAGAGTCATTCAGAGTGGTTTGGTGTGAAACGCTCTGTTCTAGAGAAACTTACAGAGTCAGAATGGTTCACAGTGGTGGTGATAGGAACCAGATGTCCACCTCTTAAAGCTCCCTCACAGACATGAAATGCTTCTAAATACACTGCCTGATGATCTGAGAATTGTTTTACGATAGGTTTGCGATAAACGCTTGGCCTAAAATATTTGGATTATGGACTGTTTCACCATCAACATTCCATGTAAAAAACTCATGCAGGTCCACTGGTGGTTTTGGACAGTTAATAAAATGGCTATATTTGTGTTGTAGTCACGGCGACCCCTGGTTCCTATGACCACCACTCTGAATGATTCTGCTTACATCTCAACCACTGAATTATGTAGAAATGGTATTACAAAGTAAATAAAGATATTTCTACGATAAACAAGCTTTTTGGTGATATATGACATGACATGGTTGTGTCATGTGGGTGGAAAAATCGAAAAAAACAGACAGGACCAATGTTGTCATTTCTGCCTGTGATGTCTTGCCTTAACTAAAAACTTTCTCCTGGTTATTAGGATAAAAAAAACATGTATATTACTTTTATTTTTTGCTGTAAAAAAGAACAGCGATTCGTTACAGTGTTAACACACATTCAGATGCACAAACACACCCACATACACACCCCGCCCATAAAAGAAATGTGAGTGAAAAAACAGTATACATAATTTACACCTACATGCCTACATGTGTGTACAGTACTGCGCAGAAGTCAGAGACCACCCTTCGTTTATTTAATTTCCATTAAAAACAGCCAAGTTATTCATTTTTCAGCAAAAATTTAACAAAAGCCTCAACAACTAAATATAATGTCACATTTTCTGGTCCTTTATATCTAATGTCCTCAGATCTATCTGCCTAAAAATGAGTAACTTGCATTTAATAGCTGTTAAATGAAGGGTGATGCGCCACTTTTGCACAGCACTGTACCTGCAAAGGATCACAGGCAAATACAAAAACAATGAAAGTACAGACAGGTGCTCCGTTCATACCGGCGTTGTCGTGTCCGATGCGGATTCTTTTGAGTCTTCCGAGGTCCACAGCCTCTATCGTGAATTCATCGATCATCCCCAACTCAAACTTATTCTTATGGTTCTTAGAGGCCTTCAGATTAATAATACCTAATCACATCCAGACAAACACAGAAACAGATTATACTCTCACTATCTGTGATCGTTTCCCTCACTCTCTCATCACACATAAACAGTCTTCCATGCATTTTTCAAGCACTGTGTAAATTCAACTAGTCAACTAGTCCCAGGTTAAGCCCAAGCCTAGACTAAAAAGGCATTTCCAGTTGTAATTCCCCATTGAGACTAAAATTGTCTCCCAGGTTAGGCTTAATCCATGTTGGGAAACCGGCACATAGTGCATTTAGTTTGTCTCACATGTACACATGTAGCGCTGGTGGTTACCTGTATCATCGTTCGTCCCATATAAAACAGCATAAACATTGGCATCAGTTCCAGCGTACTTCTTCTCCCCGGTCTTGATTCTCAGAGTGTACGTGGTGGACATAGCTACAGACACACACAGAGTAAACCTGACACAGTTACTACACACTACTACTTAACAGTTTAACAGCAACAGAATGAGCTCCACACACATTGAAAAGAATGAGAAACAAGATGATTCTCATCATCGAAAGATCATGAGTTTGCTCTCGGGTGATGCCACAGCCATCCGTAAGTCGGAGTCTGAGAGAGCACAACTGTCCTTGCTCTCACCCTCCTATCACTCAGCATGATGCACGCCAACATAACAGATGTAAGAATTAGCAGTTAGCATTCTGATCAAAGTGTGCTGAGCTCCCTCCAATGATGCTAGTTTGAGCCTCATGTGTGCTAAATTCCCCTCCCCAGCTTGGCAGTTTTGTGCAATGCCAGACACCTCGCTACTGGATGGAAGGTATATCAGTGAATTCTAACAGTCATTTACTAAGTTCTGACTGATATTTCATACTTCGCATACTGACAAGCTGTGGTTTTATCTGTATTGGCACCACTGACAACACGCCAATAATTATGAACTCTTTTTGATTGTGGCTTTGCTGGGATTCAAACTCACAATTTCCCAACAACAGGGCAAACATTAGATGGTATTATAGTACTGGAAAAGCCAAAATAAGACATTCCCTTTTTAACTAGCAGTACAGACAAGAGGTGAATCTGAACACAAAACACAATCATGGTTTATATTACAGAAACATGCAAAATGTAGGAAACCTAATGAAAAATACAAAAAGCAAGAGGTAATAAACAGGTAATAAACATACAGCCACTATTTTTCACTAACTATTGGAGTACATTGGTGTACTGGAGTAAATTAGAGTAATTAAACTGAAGGATATAAATACAAAATTATATCAGCCGATATTATCAGTTATCGCTAGAATTATTAGCCCCACAGTTGGTATTGTATCGCCTGCACATTTTTTACATTGGATGGGTCCTATTATTTACCACTGAACTCTGAACATACATTATACAAACTTGTTAAGGTTTCTTTAAAGCAGGAAATGTTATTTACAGCTCTGTGCGGTTTGGTGATTTCCCTGCTTAAACAGCTTTATATTTAGCTCTCGTGTTATGGTCCTCCAGATGTTGCCTTAAAACTACTATTATCAAACGTTTTTCGTTATAACTCCATTCAGAAGGTTCCACCACACTGAAACATGTGACCTGCTGCATTTGCAGAAAATTTGGAGAACGTTTGTGTAACAGTGGTTCAACAAAGGTCTCACAGCTCACCTTTCTGCTCGAGTCCGAGCTGTGCTGGAGATGAAGATACTTCACCATCCTCATCCTCCTCCTCTCTCTTCATGAAAGCTTCGTCCACTGGAACTAGCTCTCGCGCCAGCTGGCCGTCATCTTCATCAACCGCTAGCCATCGCTGGCAGGGGAAAAAATACCTAAATACAAACACAGCAGGATTAAAAAAGCAGCAAGCGAGACAACTCTCTGAGAGCGTGAGAAACAGTGAGAGGAACCAAGACTCAAAAAGAAGAAACTCTCTGAGAGCGTGAGAAACAGTGAGAGGAACCAAGACTCAAAAAGAAGAAACTCTCCAAGAACATGAGAAACAGTGAGAGGAACCAAGACTCAAAAAGAAACACCACCGTAAAGCATGAGGAAGAACCACTGAGAGGAACCATGTCTCAAAAGGAGAAACTCCTTAAGAACATGAAGAATCACTGAGTGGAACCAATAGTCAACACTAGCTAAGAGTATAAAGAAGAACCAGTGAGAGGAACCAAGATTTACTAACCACTGAGAGGAACCACTAGTCAAACCCCCTAAGAGCATGAGGAAGAACCACTTAGAAGAACCAAGACTCAGGAACCACTAAAGGATTCAAGACTGGAAAGGAGAAACTCTCTAAGACCACGAGGAACAACTACTGAGAGGAACCAAGACTCAAAAGAAGAAACGAAGAGGAATACAGAGAGGAACCAGGGGGAATGTATCCTCCTCTTGGTTGCGATGGTGGCAAATGAAGCTATTTGTTGCTCACGTTGTTTCATCTTTGGAGTCCACGATCTCCACCCGGTCCAGGAACCACGCTGCATTGGCTTGTTTGTTGTCATGCCGAATCCTCAGCTTCTTCAGCAGCCCCAGATCCATCGCTGTGATGGAGAAGACATCCTCCTACGAGATATCAAAGGTCAGACTGCCAGCATGTGATAGTGTTTGGTGTAGTAAACAGCTATGTCTGTTTATATAGGCATGTATGTCTCTATACAGCGGGTGCTTTAGTCTTCCTCTCCGTCTGAATGTGGCTTTCATTGAGAGGCTTTTTATATCTTGCATTAACATGTGTTTCATGTCTGGATTGTTTCTGGATATAATTTGGCCAGATTCCATACATTCCCAGTATGACCAGATATTGTGTGAAAAAGCATTTAAACACATGTTTCGGCCTCACATATTCTCCATCTTTCACCTCCTTGATTATCCTCTTGCTTGCTAGTCAGCACTTGGAAATAAGAAAAACACATTCCATTTACATTTTTGTTAAATGTGACAAAGATTTGTTTGAGTGACCCGTTGTAATCCGATCACACTGAGCCCTGGGGGTGTTTTCACCTGGCTTTTCATGCGGTCGAATAAAATCTGACCATGATCCAGTCATCAAAAACGCATGTTGATGAAAGGTGTAAACAGCCTCTCCGTATCAGCACATCAGTGTGTGTGTCTGTATCACCTGTCCACGTTCAAACTTGTTGAGGTGGTTGGACTTGCGGAGTTTTCTCTCTCCTGTGTCCCCCATCTCCCCGTAGATGTTGATGTAGACGCCTGCGTCTGTACCGGCACCCCACATAGTGCCCGTAAACACATGAACTTCATATGTGTTCTCTGAAACAGCAGGACCACACACACACACACACACACACACACACACACACACACACACACAGATAAACAGTATAGATACCTGAGTAAACTCTGACAAAACATACATGCTGCTGTACTCATTAACCCTCATTAATTAAGGCCAAAGTCATCTTTGCCATTTAATCTACTCTATTATTCTCATTTTGCTAATCAAGTGTGGTTGCACAGTAACTTATGTGATGAGTTACATTTACATTCATTTTATATCAACATGTTTGAGTCTGCACTTCCTTCTTTTTCTGTTTGTTTTGATGTCAGGAGATCACAAAACATGACAAGATTGTACACAAAACAGTAACTTTTGAGCAACTTCAAATCATGATAAAACATTTCCTCTTCTACTTTCAAACACTGATCTGGTACGAACTGAAAGTTCAGAATCTGCCCTTCACTGAGCTGCAATGACTGTGACTTCTAAAGGTTATAACGTGTCAGAAATCTAAAAATTTGTCTGTTTCTCTCTCTCACTCTTTCTCTCTCTTCCTACCCTCCAGGTCTTCATAATCTTCAGCCTTCAGCTCCACTACAATCTCTCCATCCTCCTCATCCCGGGCAAGCCAGCGGTTACATGGACAGTGATATGTTCTGACCACCTCCTTCAGCTCCCCCGGCTCATCCTCTTCCTCCTGGACAGAAGGACAGAAGGAAAGAAGGAAGAAAGGAAGGAAAAAAGATTGATGAATAGATAGATGGATGGATGGTGGGAGGGAGGGATTGATGGATGAGATAGATGGATAGATAGATGGGTGATTAGATAGGATGGATGGATGAATGGATGGATGGATTGATGGATGGATGAATGGGTGGATGGATGGATTTTGGATAGATGGATGGATGATTGGATGGATGGATGGATGGATGGATGGGTGGATGGATGGATTTTGGATAGATGGATGGATGATTGGATGGATGGATGGATGGATGGATGAAAAGATGGATTTTAGATAGATGGATGATAAGTATGGATGGATTTAATGGATGTAAGTATGATTAGATGGATAGATGGATGGATGGATGGATGGATGATTGAATGAATGGATATATGGTTAGATGGATGATTGAACGGATAGATGTATGATTAGATGGATTAATGGATGGATGGATGGATGGATGAATAGACGGGTTTTTGGATAGGTGGATGGATGATGTAATGGATAGAAGTATGATTAGATGGATGGATGGATGGATGGATGAATGGATGGATGAATAGATGGATTTTGGATAGATGGATGGATGATTGAATGGATGGAAGTATGATTAGATGGATGGATGGATGGATGGATGGATGGATGGATGAATCAATAGATCGATTTTGGATAGATGGATGGATGATTGAATGAATGGATATATGATTAGATGAATGATTGAACGGATGGATGTATGATTAGATGGATGGATGGATGGATGAATGGACGGATGGATGGATTGATGTATAGATGAATAAATGGTCGGATGGATAGAGGGATGTGTGGATAGTTGAATGGATGGTTGGCCTTAAACTGACTTACAGTACAGAAATAAAACATATCTGTTTTGTAATGACTCATTTCCTGTTGTCTGAAATGCCCTGTAAAGTGATCTGAGCAGCCAGAGCCAAAGGCCTTAACCACTCATGACCCTACTGACCTTCTTCTTCTTTTTCTTTTTCTTGTCCTTCTTATCCTCCTCTTTTTTCTCTGGTTTCACCATTGCCATGACGAGTCGTTTCACGTATATGGTCTCCAGGAACCAGCCGGCGCCCATGCCTGATCCATCATGGCCAATCCGGATCTTATAGACCCGCCCCACATCCAAAGCCTCAATCTGGCATAGCCAAACAGAAGGGAGAGAGGAATGGGAGTGGCCTCTGAGTGTCTTACGAAACATGATTCTGAAGTGTATTATCAGTGTCTAAACCAGAGATGTCCAGCTCTGGTTCTGGACTTTTGTTACAGAAACACAGCATTCCTTAATTCTAGATACTAGACTTCTGACTTCATATCAAATTTGTTTCATATTATATTAAAGCAATAAGCAGTACAGTAATTTAACTACAGGTAAAGGGTGTTGTTAGGCAAAACAGAGTAAACACTCTTAACTGTGGTAAAAGCACTGCAACCTTGAGTGGCCTCAAGTGGCTTTTTGCTTTCATGAAACAGTGATAATATACAATACAATAAAATGTTAATTACTAGTTATTTATTATAATAATCAAATCACAAGTCTTCTTCTGATGTTCAATAGTCCATCATTATATACTAAAGTCATTTCATGAATTTGAATGTTTTAATTTTTTGTCATATATTAATATGTATCAATTTTTGATGTATAGGCTTTCACGTTATAAGTAAACTGTGTTTATCAGATGGGTTTTGCAGTGTTATGTTGGCAGCGGTGTACATTCACCTTCCCCTACTGCATTTATTATATGGCAGCTCTGTCTTCAATTTGGACAATTTATGTTTGACCTTCAAGACCTTTATGAAGCATATTCTTTACTTTAGACACTGTAATTTTACCTTGAATTACTTGATAGCTACATTAGCCTCAGCCAGTCAGCACAGATCTAGTTCCTAAGAAAATAAGACCCTTGATTTAAACCAGAGGTCTTCAAATCCATTCATAGGTGTGCATATATATCATACTCTACAAGGGCTTTGAACATGGCTCAGCCAATCAGATTCTATTGGATTCTAACTGGATCTGTTCCTTTTACACTGAGATTTTAATGAAGTGCACAGATTTAAAGAATGCATACAGTATAAAAGTAAATGAGGGTACATGTAAGACTGCAATCAGTCTACTAGATATAGATCTAGAAATTTCTATAAAATGCTTCACACATATATACACACATACCCGAAAGATCTCGGTGGTTCCCCTCTCGAAGTTGTTGGAGCGGCTCTTCAGCTGAATGACCTCAGTCTTGCCCTCTTCGCCATAGATCTGCAGGAAGACATTAGCGTTGGTTCCTCCCGCAAACACATCACCCGTCACGGCCGTCACCTCGTAGTTAATCACTGCAATCACAGCACAAAGTCAGTTACGAAATTCAGCACTCACATTAGCATATTCTAATGTTTCCTATTGGCTGGAGCCTTCAGTGAAGAAGTCAGTAGAGAATGCTCAGGGCCTTCTAGGTCTTCAGAGAAGGCTAAATGATTGACGAAATTTCTAGGAGCCCATAAATATATTTCTGTATCTAGTTAAATACAGCCAAGCGAGCTCTCCCATCGTTTAGGACTTCAGAAGCTAAACTGAAGGCTGTACATGTTAGATTAACTGCCAAGGAAGTGACAGAGGAACCAACCAATCATGAACCACCACTCTAGAACTTCTGGAATTTCTGGATACATTTTAGTAAGTTGTTAGGAACGGAAAACAGGGGCAGCAGCTCTATGCTATATATGTTAATGTCTGCGATAAACTTCAAATAAAAAATATGGAATGTCATATGCCTGCTGGTGACATCCTGTATAAATAAAAATAACACGTGGCCACAACTTAGTAAGGAATAGGAATGAGATCCTAATGCATGGCCACAACTTAGTAAGGCATAGGAATGAGATAATTAAGTCATGGCCACGACTTAGTAATGTGTGGGACTAAGATCATGTCTTACTAAGACTGGACACGCAGTAGGGTCTTGATCCCACACTTTACTAAGTCATAGCCACACATTAAGATCTCTTTCCCATGCCTTAGTAAGTTGTGGTCACAACTTAATTATCTCATTCCCTTGCCTTACTAAGTCATGGCCACACACTAGGATCTTGTTCCCACACCTTACTAAGTCACAGCCACACATTAAAATCTCGTTCCCATGCCTTAGTAAGTCATGGCCACAACTTAATTATCTCATTCCCTTGCCTTACTAGTTGTGGCCACACATTAGGATCTCGTTCCCATGCCTTAGCAAGTTGTGGCCGTGCATTATTTTTATTTATACAGGATGTCACCAGCAGGGCTCTGTAGGAATGTCTTTTACAAGCTTTAAAAGTTTATGTTTAAGTTAGAATGGTCAAAAAATGTTCAGAGAAATATTACTAGACACTAGCAGAAATTAGCATTTTAATAGTGGAGGTTATTTTTAACATTTTTTGACTCGAATAGAAGCTCTAACTCGAACAATCACAGTTCACTACAGGAAAAAAGTGATGTTTTACATTCATTTGATTATGTGCACATAATTTTAACATATCGCTGTTGTCTGAAGAAAACCTCGTATCTCCAAAATGATGTCTTTACAGGAGAAAAAACCTACTTCACTTTTATTGTAAGTCAATGGAACCAGATTTTTTTCCCAAGTCATTTTGGGTCATTTATTTTGGCCCATTCATCATTAAATTTAAACACAATGTAAAGGGTAACAGTCATTTTCAAATTATGTCAAAAACTGAAAAACAACAAAAATGGAGATGTGAGGTTTTCTTCCGACAGCAGCGATATATTACACGAATGCAGTTTTGTGGAAGCCAAACTGTGTAGCAATGTCGCACTTTAGGAGCGGGACGCCGGCGCAGACCAATTCATTTAACTGTCCGAAGTGCAGGGGGGAAGTTTCATGTGAAATTGTGGCCTTCACTCCATATCAAATGAACAAGCCTTCTCCGTGATCTGATCACAGTGATTAGATCACAGTCTGATTGAGGCACAGCACATCTACACCTACCCCTTTCAGTCCAGCCACGGCATCCGGACGTGGAGCTCTCTCTGAATATTTAAACCTGCCATCTGCTTCCAACAGATGACGTTTCTGCTGATGCATTTCTACAAAATAGCTTCCGTTACTGATAAGCTCTGATCACAGTGTCAGCTTGGGACACTTAGGTAACAGGACAGTCTGACTCACATGAGTATTAACCCTTAGAGTATAACAATGTTAGAATTTCACAGTAAGTATTTTTAGCTCATTGAAACAAGTGGAGAAATTATGTGGAAAGTCCAACTTTCAGTCCGTACTGCAGGAGAAATTTTATTACAATTTGCATTTGATGGAAAGTTATTGCTCAGTCTTGATTTTCACAGGGAAAAAACAAGCTTTGGGGTATCATGAGGGAGGAAGCCCCCCCAGGGTAAGATGCCACCCCCTCTTAATTTCTCTCCTGATTAAATTATGGGACCTAACCTACTCTTAACACATTTACTGAACAGCTGAAAATTCATTTTAAAAGCATTTCTGAAAAAAAAATCACTTTACACACAAATACATACACTCCATAGTAATAGTATAAAAGCACACTTCTTATGATAAAAAGTTACAAAATAAACAAGTATGTGTTCCTGTATGGGTTCCTGTGTGTTTTCATCTACTGTGAGAACTGGGTTGGACTCTCAGGAACTATCCTAAAATGATTCAGTTCATACCTACAAGGAAGGAACCACTTGGGTGAAATAGAAAATAATGTTTCTCAGAACGTGCCAGCGACCTGTGGCGTCCCCCAGGGTTCGATTCTTAGGGCCGCTCTTTTTTTAATTTAAACATGCTTCCTCTTGGCCAAGTTCTATAAGACTAAGGGATATCTTATCACAGCTATGCAGATGATACTCAGATCTACTTGGCCCTCTCCCCAAACAACTAAAGTCCCCTTGACCCACTTTGTATGTACCTTAAGCACATCACTAACTGGATGGACAAAACTTTCTCGAGTTGAATAAAGTTAAAACAAAGATTATGTTATTTGGGAATAGCAATGAAATTCTTTCATTTCTCTCCCAATTAAATTATGGGACTTAACCTACACTCAACACATTTACTGAACAGCTGAAATTTCATCTTAAAGGCATTTCTGGAATTTATTATTTTGCCTAGCAACAGCCACCTGATTGGTCAAGGTGCTTGTAACACTATTTCTCTATGCTGCTGATTGGCTAGTGGCAGTACATTGAAAGTAATGGAGAGTTCTATTTAGTAGAATATAGATTATTGCAATATGTTGTTGCTTCTTTTTTGCTCATGGTAACCAGTAGGGCGGTGGCCCAGCGCCCAAAATAGACGAAACGTTCCCGTACATCTCCACTTTCCCTGATCCTCAGGATCAGTGTCTTTGTGAAAACGTGCGAATGGGCGAGTCCACATGGTTCCGTTACACTCTCTTACCACACTCAGTCTCGAGTGTCTCACTGGGGTAAAGTTCTGCATGTGGGAACAAGTCTGTAGACATGTGTTGGTCTGCGTATGCGAGCGCTCTTATGTTTCAGTATGTAAGCGTGTGGACATGTGTCCACCCAGGTGTTTGCGTTGGGTGTGGGCTGTCTTACATTTCTCTATCTCGAGTGTCTCGCTGGGGTAAATCTCGATCTCCACTTTGCCGTCAGCTTCGTCTTTGCAGAGCCAGCGGTGGCTGGGGAACATGTACTGCACCCCATGCACTGGAACCCAGATCTGCACGCTGTCCAGGAACCAGCCAGCATGCAGGCCCTCGTTAGTGTGGCCAATCAGCAGGCGGTTTACCTGCAAGACCCACCCACAGGGAGAGGAGAACCAACAGGACCAGATAAGAATTAAATCAAGAAAAAACTCACTTTACACACAAATACAGACACTCAAAAACAGTAGTATGAAAGCACATTTTCTTATGATAAAAAATTAATAAATGTTTCCTTTTTTTAAAACAATGTCTATTGGATAAAATCTTTGCAGGAATTTTGTACAACCAGCTATAAAAGCGCATAACAGATTTCACACATGTAAACAAATATAATAAATGGAATGAAACACAACATGTCATTGCTGTCATAATAAAAGCCCACATTGTTTCTTTTTCTCATGACTCATTATTGTGTTTCCATTAGTCAGTTCTTCCTTCTCTATACATATTGCCTTTGTTGTGTTATTGTTCTGCTATCTGATGTTTATCTGAGTAGGATGGGTTCCCCTTTCAAGTCTTGGTTCCTCTCAAAGTTTCTTTTTGCAATTAGGGAGCTGGACGCAGATTTCTGTAAAGCTGCTTTGAAACAATGCCAAAACTGCGACACAATCACATTTATTAGTTCACAAATCACATTTATTTAATGGAAATGAATTGCTACTTAAGTGTTCCTGTATGGGTTCCTGTGTGTTTTCATCTACTGTGAAAACTGGGTTGGACTTTCTTGAACTGTCCTACATGGTTCAGTTCATATATGCAAGGAAGGAACTACTTGGTTGAAATATAAAAATAATGTTACTTAGAGCATGCCAGTGACCTGTGGTGTCCCCCAGGGTTCGATTCTTGGGCCGCTCTTTTTTAATTTATACTCATTCCTCTTGGCCGAGTCCTACAAGACTGTGGGATATCTTACCACAGCTATGCAGACAAAACTCAGATCTACTTGGCCCTCTTCCCAAACAACCATGGTCCTTTTGACTCACTTTGTCAGTACCTTGAGCATCACTAACTGGATGGACAAAACTTTCTCTAGTTGAATTAGTTAAAACCAAGATTAATTTATTTGGAAATAGCAATGAGAGGCACATACTAGCTGCCTATCTGGATTCTAGAACCCTAAAATCTAAAGAACTAGTATGTAGCCCTGGTGTACTGATAGACTTTGATTTCAGTTTTAGCAGTCGGTTCAAAGCAGTTAATAAATCAGGTTTTTACCACTATAAGAACATCAACAACATCAGAGATGTTCAGACTAAAGCAGACCTGGAGAAACTCATCCACGCCTTTATTTCCAGCTGGATTGATCACTGTAATGGTCACCTTTAATTTGATGTTTATTTCTTCTCTTTTAAATGTATTGCTTATAATCATATCTTATGCTTTTAATTTCTATTCTTCTACATCTTTGTACATTCTAATTTGAATTATCTTTGTACAACCCCAATTCCAAAAAAGTTGGGATGCTGTGTCATTGAACCATATGTTATTCACAGATGTGCAAGACACCCATGCCATGTGCACTAATGCTCCCCCATATAATCATGGATGCTGGCTTTTAAAGTGTGTGCTAATAACAAGCCGGGAGGTCTTTAGCGTGGAGGATGCAGTGTCCGGTATTTCCAAAAAAAGAATTTCAAATTTTGATTCATTGGACCACAGGACACTTTTCCACTTCGCCTCAGTCCATCTTAAATGAGCTTTGGCCCAGAGAAGTTGGCGGCGTTTCTGGATCGTCCTGACATGTGGTTTCTTCTTTGCATGATACAGTTTTAACTTGCATTTGTGGGTTGCATGGCGAACTGTCTTCACAGTCAGTGATTTCTGGAAGTGTTCCTGAGCCCATGCAGTGATTTCCAGTACAGAATCAGGCCTGTTTTTAATGCAGTGCTGCCTGAGGGCCTGAAGATCACAAGCATCTAATATTGACCGTCGGCCTTGTCCCTTGCATACAGAGATTTCTCCAGATTCTCTGAATCTTTTGATGATATTATGTACTGTGGATTGTGGGATATCCAAAGTCTTTGCGATTTTATGTTGAAGAACATTTTTTAGACACAGTTTTTCGCAGATTGGTGAACCTCTGCCCATCTTTGCTTCTGAGAGACTCTGCCTCTCTAAAATGCTCTTTTAATACCCAGTCATGTGAGCTGTAATTGCTCCTCCAGCTGTTTTTATTAGTACCACTTTCTTCTCAAGCCTTTTGTTGCCCCTGTCCCAACTTTTTTGAATGTGTTGTTATTTACATTTTACACAGTGTCCCAACTTTTTTGGAATTGGGGTTGTATTTTCTCACTTGTAAAGTACTTTGAATGCAAGGTATGAAAGGTGCTATATTGTCCCCTTGGAAATGTAAGGTTTTATCTGCGTTCTGAGCAGTTTTGAGATAGTAAGCTTCAAAGATTTTGCACTCCAGATAGCAGAGTAAATCAGTTTTTTGGAACAGGTTAAATGCAGATAGAACCTTGTAATCCTAAGAACTCTATTTCTGCTTGGAGTTATAAGGTTCTGCTTTGCAAAACATGAAAAGCAGTGATGATTTTAAAGGAACACAAAGTTTATACTCGTAATTTATTTAAAAAATAAAACTAGTGTAAGACAGTGTCTACATGTCTCAGAAAGTACAATTTAATGCTTTCTATGACATTTTTATGACTATTATTTGTATTATATATTATGTTGTATGACATTTATTTCTTGTCTTAAAACAAGTCATCTTTTTCTTATTAAAAAGAGCACTGCAGATTGGGTTCAGGGCTAAATATTTTCAGTTTTAGGTAGGACCCATTAGTTTAAGTTTCCTTTAGTTAGATGGAAACCAGCTACTGTAATTAACTGTCCCAGCAGGTCAGTGTAGCAGGACAGTCTAAAGGCAGTATGAGGTTTTGTTTTGTATCCAGAATGTGACTCTAATGAGCCAAATGTCGGATTTTGGGAGAAAGATGAAAAAAGAAAAGATGGATGAATGAATAAAATTGATGTTTATATTGTAATTAAGAATCCAACAATTCAGATGTTTAGTATTTAATTAGTTTTAAGCCTTAATATTTATATACTTTTTAAAGCACTAATAGAAGGCAGTTTCAGCAACATGTTTCATAAAGTTTTATAAACTTTTCCTGCAGTCACTGAGTAGAGCAGCGACATGACAAAGAAGCAGAACCTGATTGGTCCTTCTGTGTATTCGAAGAGCTTATTGGCTCACAGATAGAACTTTATAGAAGTTTTGTTAAGAGTTTGACTTTGTTAGAACCTTTTTGGTTTCTAGATAAAGAGTCCAAAAATGTGAACAACTTTAAAAACACCTCGCATAATGTTAAGAAGTTGTCACAGAATATGTGTATAAATCAATTTTGACAAAAATGTCAGATAAAAAATTATAATTCCAAGAGGACAATATCAATAATTTTGTGATCAAAATGAATTTTAGCAGTGTTTGTCACGGCATCTTTTCACTAATTTTATTTATTTTTATGAACATATTTTTAAGCAAGTAGGATGGAAAGCTTGTCTAGTTCAAAAACGGAGCTGAGTATTAAGTTCTTTATACTTACATCCTTACATTACTATCAGAATTTTCTAGCAACTTTTAAAAATACTCCAACTAAAAATACTCCCTCAGTTACAATAAACATTTACATTTGTACCATTTTGTAGCTGAACTGCTCATAAACGGTAGGCCCTGGGAACAAAGTCTAAGTTTTAATCTGTGAAGTGTCTAGACCTGAGTGAGGGTACATAATAAGGGTTAAAAAGAGAGTGAGAGAAAGTGTGAAGTGAAGTGAAGTTTGGGAAAGCACACCTTGCCGATGTCAAACGTTTCCATGGTGAAGATGTCGGTCTGTGCAGTTTCAAAATAGTTGCCCAGGTCGTTATCAGAGACGACCAGCAGCCTCTTATCGGTGTCTCCTTTCTCCCCATACAGCTTCACAAACACCTTCGAATCTGAGCTCGCCCCGTTAATGCTGCCCGTCTTTATCGCGATGTGATAACTAACATCTACAACACAATTACATTATTAATGACCCTCACAGGAAAGAAGCTCCCTGAGTTTCATTCATGTTTTCAAACAAAGAGTCACGTCTTGATGTTTAACTCTCTATAGCTTTATGAAAGTGTGTTCTAATGTGTGTGTGTGTGTGTGTGTGTGTGTGTGTGTGCGTGTGTGTGTGTGTGTGCGTGACTCACTAAACAAGCGCTGGCCATCTGCAGTGGCCACCAATTCTCTCACAATCTGACCATCATCTTCATTCCGATCCAACCACCTACAGAGAGAATGAGAGAGAGAGAGTGAGAGAGTGAGAGAGTGAGAGAGAGAGAGAGAGAGAGAGAGAGCTTTATTGTACTATGTGTGTGTATGAATACCTACATATCTAATTAATTTGTGATTTCTAGTGCTGTCAAAACTTTCAAACAATTAATCGTGATTAATTAATCACGTTTGTTTTGCATAGTTAATCATCAGTAATCGCATTATGGTGTGTAATCTACCACAATTAATCACATTTTGCATTAGTTAATCATGAATAGTCGCAATTAATCGCACTGTTTTGTGTAGTTATGAGTGACTGCATGATCACATGTAGTCAATCACAATTAATCACAATGTTTAGTGTAGTTAATCATGACTAATCGAGAGGTAATCACGAGTTAATCGTTTGTTTTGTGTAGATAAACGTGATAAATCACGTTATGCCGTCTAGTTAATCGTGATTAATCGCGTTTGTGTAATTTGAAAGATTTAAAAAGCAGTCATTTTGTTAAACCTATATGAGTAGACAAAATGAGATTAATCAGAATGTATTTATTACATTCAATAAACCAATAACATTATTTTCATCGTGTGAATGAGGAACCTGAACATGGAAATCATGTGATTTTCACAGAGTGAACACAGTCTCCGATTTTCATTATTGACGTCCAGCGAGAGCAATAGCGTCTGCATGTTCCAACCAATGAGTGTATAGCATATATATCACATTTACAGTCAATGAGTTTATATCATATATATCATATATATAGTCAATGAGTGTTTAAATATATATCATATATACGGTCAATAAGTATATCATATATTTCACATACACAATCAATTAATGTGTATAGCATATATATCACATACATGATCAATGAGTGTATATTGTATATATCATATATATGGTCCATGAGTGTATATCATATATATCATTTATACGGTCAATGAGTGTATATCGTATGTATCATATATATGATCAATGTGTGTATATCTTATATATCACATATACACTCAATGAGTGTATATCTTATACATCACATATACAGTCCTTGAGTGTATATCATATATATCATTTATACGGTCAATGAGTGTATATCGTATGTATCATATATATGATCAATGTGTGTATATCTTATATATCACATATACAGTCAATGAGTGTATATCTTATACATCACATATACAGTCAATGAGTGTATATGGTAAATATCATATATCTGGTCAATGAGTGTTTATCATATATATCATATATACGGTCAACTCATCTGTGATTGTAGCCTCTTGCTCTGGTTCATACAGATCGTGGACACTTGTTATAGTAGAGGCTCTCGAGGGGAACTGGAGTTCTCCATTTTGCTGTTGCTTTTGTTAGTTTGCTGCTCATTGATTTATCTATAGTTCTCCCATGAGCACTGTGTGGCATAGTTGCTGAATTACTGATATTGCTGCCTCAGTTGTGTTTCTGAAATGAGTTTAGACTTGATGTACTTCGGTGATAAACAAATTCACCATGGCAGTAGCTGGTGTACCATCAATGAAACTTGTCATTTAAAAGCTGTGTTTGAATGAGAGGACTGCAGTCACTAATTTACAGCAACGTACCGTCCACTGCAGCTGGGCTTCAGCTTACACTATGAGGAAAATGTGATAACGCCAGGGATGCTCACTGGTAGTCAAGTAATTGGCTAAGCTTGCCAGTATTTGAATTCCGAAGTCACTATTCAAATATCCGTTATTCATCACGGCAAGGCAGAAATTAATACAGACCAATAATTCGGTGAAACATGACAGTTTTGCTCATATTTGTAAGCATGTTATACAATACTTTGCTACTCTGAAACATGAGTGCCTGAACATGAGTGGCAAGGACACGTTGTTAAGAATGTGGCTGTGAAAGCAGAGATAGAACAGCGTTATCACTTTCAACTCTAGCTGAAGTTACCTAGGTCCAGAAACAGTGGAAATATATTTTTCTAACAAACTAACATGGTAGCACATCGTCCACTGAGGAGAAAAGACCTTGTGTAGGAGACAAAGAGTCCTCATCAGCATCCGTGGCATGTTAGCTCATCTGAAGTGGCAGCCTCCGTTATTCATTCATCACAAAAACCCAACAATGTCCCTCGGCTGTTTTCAAATAATAAAACGTTCCTCTGCCGTTAGATTTTTGTGCAACACCAGTGCTGTCACCTAAAAAGGTAAGCCCTTTAATCTGCAGCTAACCAGATATCCAGCATTAAAAATGAGTGGCTTTAATGATTTATCGCATTATTAAGGCATCACCTTCAATACAGTCAGTAATTTTGTATGTTAGTGTGTAAAAATGAAAGCAAGGATTTATAAATGCAGTCTGAGTGTGTGTGTGTGTGTGTGTGTGTCTGAGTGTGTGTGTGTGTGTGTGTGTGTGTGTGTGTGTGTGTAACTGAGCACTATGCTCTGCTTTAGCTCATGTTTCCATCACACTGTTCTCCATTAGTAACCAGACACGGTTCCCTCATCTACATAAAGACTTAAACACCACTCTCACACATACACACACACTGACACAAGCTAGCTTTCTATTCCAACATTTCAACAATTTTAGGCAAATTTTCAAAAAGGTTGGGAAAAGAAAATGCAAATTAATCAGTGCGTTAACTACTGTTTTGCACTAAACTATTAGCCATACACACTGCAAAAAATGATATTTTAGCAAGTGAAAAAATCTTAAATCTAGTTAATGAACCTAACATTTCTCATTATGAGATTGTTGTAAGAATATTATATGATTGTTTAACTTATTTCTAGACATTTTTTACTTGTTTTGAGTCATTTTATTGTATGAAAGTGTCTTATTCTATTGGCAGATCAATTTAATTGTTTCAAGCATGATTTCTTTAAATAAGCAAAACTGTCTGCATTATTTTTTCAAACTAAGTAAAATGATCTGCCAATCAGTAAAAAATGCAGAGATATTGACTACAATTAAGATGTTTTCACTTCCTAAGATGTTATTTTTTGCATTGCAGTGTAACATATCATCAAAAGATTCACACAACCGAAGTAATGATAAACTACCAACACTGCACATACCTCATATATATATGTATATATAGTATATATAGTATACTATAGTATACTATAGTATAGCATATATAATTTGACAGCTACTTCACGATGGGAGGACCTACAGTGCTACAGTGGATGGAACTGGCTATAATACTAACACTGGAAGACCCCAGAGGAAAATCACTATGTATGACGTGTCCTATGATGTATGTGCTTGACTTGCCTGTAACATGGGAACTCCACAGAGGATGCCTCAGGCTGACCTTCCTCTCTGACCATCACCTTATCCAGGAACCAACCACAGCCTCCGCCCCGCCCGTCATGACCAATCCGAACCCTCCTGATCGTACCCAGACTTACGGCTTCTATCAGGAACTCATCTGCCTGATAGAGAGACATTTGCATTTAGACAGAGAGACAGAAAGAAAGAGAGCGCAAGAGAGAGAGAGAGAGAAAATGAGAAAGAGAGAGAGAAAGAAGGAGACAGCAAAAGAGAGAGAGAAAAAATGACCAATGACCAGCAATGACCGTCATTTAGAATGCAGGTTATGAGGTTGGTGGCTATAACTCACGTTGCCTTTTTCGAACTTGTTGACATTGTTCTTGCTCATGAACAGGAGCCTCTCTCCTGTGTCCCCCAGGTCCCCGATTATGTTTAAATACACGCTGGCGTCTGTCCCACTGCCACTGACATTCCCCGTGCAGACCGTCACTCGATACTTCAGCACTGAAGAACACAACAAGTGATATAATACAAGAAGATACATAAAAATATATATGCAAGTAAAAGTGTTATTAAAAAATTATAATAAACATTGTTTTAGGCAGTATGAAGGTCTTTGGTGTATTTGGGAGGCTCTAAAAACTACAGTACATTTTAGTCCCATTATGTGCCAAGTTTGTGGCTGTTTTGGTAGTAGTTTCTGGGATATGTAGTTTTATGGCTGTCTTTTGTAGTTCTCTTACGTGGCAGTGGCTCTGGCACATGGACGCCAGTAGCTGGCAGTTCTCTGATGATTTCATTGTCATCCTCGTTGATGTCCAGCCAGCGATTGCAAGCAAAGTTATACTTCTCCCTGTTCAAGGTCTTCATTAATGTGACCTGGACATGCACAAGCGCACACACACACACACACACACACACACACACACACACACACATTAAGGTCTACACAGCCACATTAAGTCTGTTTCACAGTTACCATAAAATGCCATTTCTGACATTTTTGGAGCTCTATGCTTTTTCTTTTTCCATGAAATTAATAGAATATTAAAGGCAACATTCATTAAAGTATTTCATTGTATTTAAATTACATTTTTATTGCAGTAGTTGTACATGATTATTTGATATGAATAAATTCCTTTCGCCTATCATTGCTCAATACAGAATTGCAGAATTTCACTCACAGAGAGACAACAGCGTCCTAGATAATCTGAAAAATAAATCTGATTTCAATATAATATTTATAATAAAATTAATCTGAGTCAACTTCTATTCTGCCGACAGACTGGCCACAAGGGGGCCTGCAGACAAAGAGTACTGACTACTGAATGTGGTTGGTAACACTTCTGCCTTCTACACTATAGACTGGGGTTCGATCACTGCCTGGGTAAGCACCCTACACTATACCATAAGAGAGTCCCTGGGCAAGACGCCTAACACCACCTTTGCATACCTGTGTAAAATGAGCAAATTATAAGTAGCTCTGAATAAGAGCGTCTGCTAAAATGCCATAAATGGATGATGGACAGGTGGATAAATAAGTGAGCAGATGCATGGATGGACTGATAAAAGTTCTCACCCTGCCCAGATGCCAGCCAGAGAAGGGATTTCTTTTCTCATGCCAGATCCTCAACTTCCTTATCTTCCCAATATCAGACATTTCAATCTACAGCAGCCCAACAGGAACAAAGTACAGTAAAAAAGAACCAAACAAACAAACATTAACCTGCACAACTGATGTGGTTTATAATTGGAACACACACACATGCAGGTAAACTGTGGTACCATGAACTTGTCGCACTGGGCCTGCTCGAAGCTGTCTGATTTGCTCTCCAGCTTCAACTCGTCACTCTTGCCTTTCTCTCCGTACACCTGCAGGAACACCTGGGCGTCCGTACCCGCCCCTTTGATATCAGACGTCCAGATCCACAGAGACCACGGTAACTCTACAGATTACACAGAAAAAAGTGTGTTTATTATGGACGTGTTAAAAATTAGATTTTCATGTTTTTTTGACTCAAAAAAAGCAATAAATCAAAACTAGAAAAGTGCACAGAGTGACTGTGCAGCCTAAATTTTCTCTGGTGTTGCTACCCAAGCGGTTGTTAGATGGTTGCTAGGTTGTTGCTAGGGCATTTTAGGTGTTTTCTAAGGTGTTGCTAAGTGGTTACAAAGGTATCCAAGGTAGCTATGGTGTTACTAGATGGCTGTTATGTTATCCCCGGTGGTTGCTAAGGCGTTGCTAGGATGCTGCTATGGTATCTTAGGTGGTTGCTAGGATGTTGCTAAGTGGCTATAAATATGTGGGTTTTGCTAAGCAATAATGTTGTTGCAGGTGGTTGTTAGGGTGTGGCTATGTGGTTGCTGTGGTACTGGAGGTTACAAAGATATCCAGGGTTGCTATGGTGTTACTTGACAGTTGCTATAGTGTTTCAGGTAGTTGCTAAGGTGATGCTAGACGTTACTATTAGTGGTACTATTTGGTGGTTACTAGGGTGTTGCAGGTGGTTGCAAGTGTATTGCTTTGTGTTTGCTAAAGTATTGGAGGTGGTTGTAAAGGTGTTGTTAGGTAGTTGATATGGAAGCTCTGGTGGTTGCTAGGTAGTTTTATGGTGTTCCACGTTGTTGCTGGGGTATTGATGCTTGCAATGGTATTCCGGGTGGTTGCTACGGTGGTAGTTACCGTGGTATTCCGGGAGGTTTCTAGGTTATCGTTCAGGGATTGCTACAGTATCTGAGGTGGCTGGTATACTTGTATCACGGTGACCTCAGAGGGGTGTACAAACAGACCAATGGAAACAAAAAGCTAAATTTGCGTATACAGACGAGTAAGACAAAAGCGCATAAAAGGTCAGAGGCACAAATGTCTCACTCTTCTGTTTGCGCTGGCGCAGTGAGACCATCTCATACAGCTCCCTCTCCACTAAACCATCTCCTTCATCTTCATCCAACCAGCGGCCACACGGGAACACCTGCTCAATCCCCGTAAACGGACAGTACACTGTCACCTGAGAGAGAGAGAGAGAGAGAGAGAGAGAGAGAGGTATGATGACTTTCATTGCATTTTTTATGTATCTACACACAGATATACAGAAGTCAATCACTGAGTAAAAATTTGGAATTATGGTTTTCAGTAATATAAACTCTATTTGGTTGCAGACTGATATATAAAATGTTTCTAAAATGCCAGACCTGTATAACTTTCAATATAATATATAACTCTCAATGAAACTTGCAATATTCAATAATAAAATTAATAACGAGATTAAAGTTCTAATAAACTTAACATTCAGATAGTCTTATATTTAAAATATTCCGATCAAACCTCAATAATTTCATAAAAATGGTGTGACAAAAGTGATATAGATAAATATATGTATTATGTATATGTAATTATATGTATTACAGTATGTAATTTATCATTTATTTGCTTATTTTTGTTCCAAACATACTGAATTTAAAAAACAGCAAAAACCTCCTTTTGGTGTCTATAACATTAAACTTTACACTGTATTGGTAATGAAATGAAAATAATTAATATGACAAGTGATCCCAAACTTTTCCTGGTAGTATACAAACCACACACACACACACACACACACACACACACACACACCTTCTCACAGTACCAGCCACAGCTGATGCCAGCGTTGTCGTGCCCGATGGTGACTCTGCTCAGGGGGCTCAGCAGAGAGAGGATCTCCACGTTAAAGATGTCGATCTGAGCGCGCTCAAACGTCCCACCTTCCAGAAATATCTTCCCGCTGTTTTTGATGCCTTTGTAGCCGTGCATCACCAGGTGGATCTTTGAGTTAGTGCCTGCACCCCGAATATCGCCCGTCATCACCTGGACGTTGTACACGATCGCTGCGCATAAGAAGAACACACACAACAACACATACATATAAGTGGAAATACATTAGAACATCATGGGGTTCCTCAGGGCTCAATGTTAGACAAATTCATTTGAATGATTTAGGAATCTAATGTTGATTTCTCTCTTTATGTCTCGTACATTTACGTACACTTGCATCTTACCCATCGGTTGTGTGGCTCCAACTACTACATCCCTCTGTATTTTGCCATCACCTTCTGAGATGTCAAACCAGGCATTAACAGGAAACTCATACACCTCCTTATTCCCCATGTCATCTATTACCACCTGAAACACAAACATGATGAGTCATGATCACAAACATAACACGAAGACCAACCAAGTGTCAGTGTGTGTGCAAGCACTTATTATAAAACGGATGTTTCAGTCCTAAAGCATGGTTTTCTGAGTCGCATTTGAAGCCAAAATACTGAAAATAATAAGAAAGTAGAAAGTTATGCATTATCTGTATTGATATCTATATAGCGCAATGTCCAGACAAAAACCACGATGTGCTTCGCAATGTAATAAAATTCACAGATAAAAACATTTAAATAATTCAAATAAAGAGCAATAATAATAAAAATAATAAAAAACAAGAAAGGTCTCAAAAACATGCACATAAAACAAAATATAAGCATACAAACAAAAAAATAACAGTTGTTTAAAAGAATGCCATAATAATAAATATACCCTCAAATATTATCTATCACAAAAAAAATTACGACATGTTTATGAATACACTGTCTGATGTCTAAGACATTGCTTTATGATAGTTTTGAGGAGGTTTTGGCCTAAAATATAGTTTTTAAATCTGTTTTGGGTTCACTGATGGTTTTGGATAGTAAATAAAATGGCTATATTTGAGTTGTAGTCATGGTGACGCCTGGTTCCCATCACCACCACTGTAAAGACATCTGACCGTCTACAATGAACCATTTCAATCACTTAGAAAATCAACAAAATATATAATTTGACTGGGACGTTCAAAATGTAAGGTGTTAGGCTTTACTGGATTCCTATAAAACTGCAACATATAGAAGTTCAGAACATGTTGCCTAAATGTTTTACACGCATCAAATATCTGTGTGCTGCTGTAGCTTGGTGCTAACATAATACTGTAAGTCCCATAAAGATGTTAGTGGGAATTAGCATTATCACAGCAGCAAAAGATATATTTAAAGCGAGAGCAGAACCTTTCGTGGCTGACTAATTTTATGTCAGGTGAGGAGTTATTTGACAATCTGAATCAAAGTAACTCTTTTATGGAAAACTTATTGACTCATTCTGATTTTTTGTGTGGTAGTTTTCTGTTTTTGCTTGAGTCATTGCTTTATTTGTTTAAAAACATAAAGTAATTAGAGTAATAGAATTATGTATTCAATTCTCAAGCAGGACATTTTGCCACGACACAAGTTTAGTATATGGAGCATTGTACTGAATTAGCTCAAATTGCAATAACATAAACAATGAAGTATTCAAACCTTAAATATTTACAAATATATTGTTATAATCTATTTAAACTCAAAATCATCATTTATAAGGTACTTTCTGTTGGTGATGTCTGTCCCAAACCCTAATCCCTAAATTTACATTTACTTGTGAAAATATTACATTTTTTGCATTTTTTAAATATTGTTTTAAAAAGATCTTTTTGATTTCCTTTAAATGAAGCTGAAAGATTTAGATTTATCATGAGTTTAATTTTTAACTAAAAAACTTTTAAGTCTATAGGCGGAGCCTTATTTTAGCCACACCCCTGCATTGTAGAGCAGGAAGTGAGACTGCATCCCTGTGCCTCATGGACACATGGTGAGCATTTAGATCCTATTGTTTTGAAGTAAATGTGTCCCAAAGTCTGAAAATCAGTGTGGAACATTAAGAACTGTCACTACTGAAACAGATGTTGTTCAATGAAGTAAACATTTTTGTGTTTTACTGAAAAATATGATGATTTATGTGTGAACAGCTGTTCAAAGCTGTGAATGGACGGCAATCAGAATACATTACTGCCAGAGAAACTGTATGTTTCCATGATCTGAGTAGCCCAATTTTAATCAGCTGCTTCAGCCCTTTTAATTAAGCTAATTCAAAGCAATCTGGAGCAGAGTGCATTCTGCTGGTAACGTACAGCATGGTTGTGTGTGTGTGAGCTCGTGTCCCTGCTACGTTATCATGTTATGCTCTCTTGAGCTGGCTCTCGAGAAAAGGTCTCATTAATCTAATCAAAACTGCATGAATTAAAAATCACCCAGTAGGCCTATGAATTACAGACACGCGCACTGAACAAATGAATCATTAATTAAGTGGATGAGAGTGTGTATGTGGGCTGATATGCACGCATATGTATGTGCAGAATGTGTGTGTGTGTGTTTTGGTACATATGACAAATGATCAGCGCACTACAAATCCCTGTTTGACTCGTGCTTTTTGCATGAAAGCCCGTCTTCTGCCAGGTAGAAGGAAAATGGCTTTTAAATCCTCTCAGATTCAAATTGTGACTCATTAAGTCAAAATAATAACTTGTTTTCATGAGATTTTGACTTAGTAAGTCAGTGAGCGCGTTTACATGCACTTAATAATCCGATAACCGCAGAAAATCAGATTTTGTCAGTAATCCGATCACTTGAGTAATCAGATCATGAGGAAACTTCGGGTCTACATAAGTCAGACAGTAATCAGATTTCTGCTTTACAAACAGCCAATAAACTCACAGAAGAAGACGTGATGTAAACGTAACGTAAAGCGTGTTTTTTTTAAAACATTGCGCCACTTTACCTGAATAAATGAACACACATCATCTAGAAGATGAAGAATATTTAAATCCCTTATTTCGTGTTTGGTTTCAGCATCACTCCAAAAGTGTTTTGCTGCATCTCATGGTGACGCTGCTCGCTTATTTCCAGTATCACCCTCTGTTTCTCACATGTGCAGACTGAGAAATCCGAAAGAAATCAGAGTAAGAGTTCACATGCACTGAGAAATCTGATTACTGAGCTAAAATCCAGCCTCTTTTTATCAGATTTCTTAATCGGATTTCTAGACCTTACTCTGATCTAAGAATTTGGAGTGTGCTGACCATTTGAATAATCAGATAACTACAGAAATCAGATTATGATCGGATTATTGAGTGAATGTAAACGCACTCAATGTGTATATGTGATCTAATCTGCGTGCGTACCTTATCGCAGCCCCACCCAGCGGAGGAGCCCTTATTGTTGTGTCCGATGGTGATTTTTCTAAGTCGTCCCAGGTTTGGGGCCTCGATGGTGAACTTGTCCTCATTCCCCCTCTCAAAATTATCTTTCCCCTCACTCACAAGCTTCCTCTCCCCTGCACACGCATAGAGACATCATACGGAGAAGAACACACTTCATATTGCTTCATAGATGATTATGAAATCCAGCCCAGCACAGACAAATACATACCGGTATCTCCGTGCTCTCCGAAGATGGTCAAGTAAACATCTGCATCCGTTCCACTGCCTTTGGCATCCATTGTGAAAACACTGGCTATGTACTTATTTTCTACAAGACATAAACACACAAACACATATCAGAACTACACTATACTATATACTATACAAATATAGCAGTTCTACAGTTATAGACTGTAGCCCATCTGTTTCTTTGAATGCTCTGTTACCCTGTTCAATATTCAGGACCCCCCCAGAGCAGGTACTATTTGTGTGGTGGATCATTCTCAGCACTGCAGTAACACTGATGAGGTGGGGCTGTGTTAGTGTGTGTTGCGCTTGTCTGAGTGCATCAGACACAGCAGTGCTGCTCAGTGTCGCAGCTGGTCTGAGAACCAAAAACGTCCAGCCAACAGTGTCCTGTGGGCAGCGTCCTGTGACCACTGATGAAGGACTAGAGGATGACCAACACAAACTGTGCAGCAGCAGATGAGCTATGGTCTCTGACTTTACATTTACAAGGTGGACTGACAAGGTAGGAGTGTCTAATAGAGTGGACAGTGAGTGGACACAGTGTTTAAAAACTCCAGCAGCACTGCTGTGTCTGATCCACTCGTACCAGCACAGCACACACTAACACACCGCCACCACGTCAGTGTCACAGCTGAGAATGACCCACCACCTAAATAGTACCGGTTCTGTGGGGGTCCTGTGGGGGTCCTGACCACTGAAGAACGGGGTAACAAAGTATGCAGGGAAACAGATGGACTACAGTCTGTAACTGTAGAACTGCAAAGTGCTCCTATATGGTCAGTGGAGCTGATAAAATGGACAAAGAGTGTAGAAACAAGGTGGACTAAATGAAGTGGCCAGTCAGTGCACACACACACACACACACGAGTCAGTCATGCATGCACACAGAGAAATGTAAGATGCCCCTTAATCTTCTCTGAGCCCTTTTCCATCTTCAATTATCATGTCAAGGTGTTGTCTTTCTTCTCCTCGCTCTCTCTCTCTCTCTCTCTCTCTTTCACTTCTGCCTACATGTGAGACAAGCAAGCATTAGCTGACTTATATCTGCCTTTGTTTTCTTACTTTTCTTCCATTTCTAAAAGAAAAAGACATGCATGACTACAAACTCTCTCTCTCTCCATCTGTCTGTATTTATGAAGGTGTAAGGTTAGTAGGGTAGTGTGTTTGGGTGCTGAAGGCTAGGTTGTGTCTGATACGCTGATCCGCAGACTGTAACTTTACTCTGCAGCGCGGTAAAAGCCTCTGAAGACTCCAGCAGCCTCCTTATGCAACCGCTCCAGCCTGCACTGCTCCTCCTCACAGCATCTTCAGCACATGGACATTCACACAAAACAACTCGTACGAAATGGTGTGAGTTTCTCAATTCTGATGTGAGCGCTAAACATTCCGAGTGAGATTATGTCAGAATCACAATCGTCTCTCCCAGGGTTTCAGTCACGTGATTTTTCTGATGTGGCCACCATATTGGAGAGCGAATTTCTGGCTTTGCTGCTCCAAACATAACTAGAGGCTAAAATTACTCTCCTTACTTTGGAAGAGAAAAACGTTTCTCGACAGAGTCGATAAAAGAGGCTGTGATCCTTATACAGTTTCCCTCTGAACTCCTGGTCCCACTTAAACTGGCGGAAAAGCTACCAAATTAGTAGCTGACATTTATATGTATCTCATACTCAGCCCCTCTCCCTATTCTGGAGAGTCTCTCAGAGCATTTAAAAGCACAGAAGCCCACCGGCTCTTCACGTCAGGGTGGGTAAAGGATCCCATGGTGCTGCATAAAGAGGAGATAAACTCTGTGATCATAGGAGGGTAACGACATCAGCTAATTAACACAGATGTGAACAGTGCTGGCCTTTAGATAACTTTAGCTAAAGCCGAGAGATGAACAGTCGTCCCCCTAACAGAGCTGCAGACGGCCGGTATAACTTTACTCTCTGTTTCTGGAGATTTAAATGACGTTTGAGTGGAGAAACATAAACGTTAAATATCAGACTGAATGTCGTGGATTGGAAAACGACGTCGTGTTTCGACAGACGTGATTCTGTAAGTTTGCTAGTGCCTGGAGTGAAAACACTGAATTAAAGGTCTGTGTGTCTCTCGTCTCTCGGCTTCTGTCACGTCTTGTAGGCGAATCATTCACAAAGCACAGAGCTAGCGCAGTCGCTCCCTGATTCGGTCCTCAAAATGGCTACTATACAGTGTGACATCATGTGAAACGCAAGAATACAGAGGCCAAAGCTAAGTCTCGCTAGTTTGCGAGTTCTCTACATGGGGGATCACCCCTATGTTCTCAGGGCCCAAGGAAACTGGCCAGTGTTCCCCGGCTTCTCTGCATGTAAGCTAAGCTTTGACTTCTCAAAAAACTGTGTTTGCTTAGCGTACAAAGTGTGCTTTGCTAGCTAATTAGCTGCCTGAGGAGAGCCTAGCCAAGGGCAAGTGAGCTCCTATTGAACATCTCCTCCTTGTTGTCCCTTGTAAGACCTCTGGTGACCTAAATTACCTAACTATGACCTTAGGAATCTTTGCGTACGTCTTCTTAATGTATAATAGAGGTTTGATGTTTTGTCTTATTTTGTTGTGAAGGGAAATTGTGAGTTGTGTTGCAGGAAAATTTTCAAGGCACATAATTGCTAAAATGAACTGTAGCTGGAGTTGCCGTACGTTTAGGGATGTCCATGGGGTTGAGGCTGCCCAGCAGGTATCTGACCGTGAGCCCGTCGCCCTCCTCCCTGCTAAGCCAGCTGTTACAGGCGAAGAAGTATCTGAGGTGAGGCCTGGACATGTCTGTCACGATGACACGATCCAGGAACCAACTGGCACTCATTCCTGTGTTGTCGTGTTCAATCCTAAAAGGCAGGAGAGGCATTGCAGGAAGCGTGTCAGGCAAGATGAGTTCGTCATTAGACTGCAAGTAGTTTACATAAGTGTGTGTATGTGTGTGTGTGTGAGAGTGCAAGTGCATATGTTTGTGAGTGTGTGTGTTAGTGTTGAGTGTAAGTGTATATATTTGCGTATATGTGTGTGTGTTGATGTGTGTGTTGATGTGTGTGTATGTGCGTGTATATGTTTTTGTGTGTGTCCATGTGTGTTTGTATGTTTGTCTGTGTTCGCATGTGTGTGTGTATATATTTATGTGTGTGTGTGTGTGTGTGTGTTAGTGTGTGTTTATGTATATATGTTGTCTATGTGTGTAGGCAAGTGTGTGTATGTTTATGTGTGTGTATATGTTGGTGTGTGTGATTATATGTTTATGTTTGGGTGTGTGGATGTGTGCTTATGTGTGTGTGTTTGTGTGTGTGTATGTTTATGCATGTGCACATGTTTTTGTGTGTGTATATCTATGTGTGTATATATGTTTGTGTGTGTGTTTGTTCATGTGTGTGTGAGTACATTTTCGTGTATGTTTATATGTGTGTGTGTGTGTGTGTGTGTGTGTGTGTGTGTGTGTGTGTGTGTACCTGAGTTTCTTTATTGGCCCGACGTTGTGAGTTTTAATTCGGAAAACGTCAGTTTTGTTCTTTTCGAAAGCTGTTCTGCTCCTGTGATGAAAATGAGGAGGTGAGTGAGAGACAAAAAAGGAGGCAGAGACAGAGAGAGAGAGAGAGAGAGAGAGAGAGAGAGAGAGAGAGAGAGAGAGAGAGTGCCTGATACACTCCCACATACACATTACACAAACACACACTAACATAGAGAGATAGAAACACTGAACTGAATATTTCACTGTGTCTTTAAAAGTTATTTAAGTGTTTTCTTTAGGCCTCCTATCAAAGTATTAGTCCTATGGTCAGGAGATTGTGAGTCTGATTTAAAGATGCCACAGCCATCCGTGTCTGGGGGTCCAAGAGATCATAATTGTCTCTCTCTCTCAGTAGGTAGGATGATCCTCCTCCCCCATCACTCAGTGTGAGGCTAGTCAACGCAGGCGTCTGTTAGCTGAATAATAGAATTAGCAGTTAGCGTTCACCTCCTCGCATGTTGAGCTGTCCAGTGATGTTGCATCATCGGCAGTTTGAAAAGATGTGGTAGCGCTTCACATGGAATCTCATGCTTGTCTTCACCTTTGCAGCTTGGTAGCACTGTGTGACGGGGGAGTTCTAGCTAGCAGATGGACTAAATTGCATGTATCATTAGCTATTTAGCTACGCTCAGCTAGCAAGTTAAATGAATAAGAATAGCTTCACTGGAGCTGCGTTCATTCATCAGGTAACATTCACTTGTTCTGAAATACAGTCAAATTCAACTCAAGACTTATTTTATTAGCCCTCCAATGATTGCTTAGCAACAGTTGCTATCAAACTTTCAGTTCTTTAGCAGTGAGCCAGTGTGTCATGTTATTTGAATTTGTAGCTCCAGCTCTGGTCAAAAGATGTACCTGGGGGACAGAGTAGATCAGTGGTCACCTACCTTGGTCCTGAAGATCTATCTTTCTGCAGAATCTGGTTCCAACCACAATCTGCCACACCTGCTCCAGCTCATTACCTTCTTCAGAAATCCTTGATTGGCTGGATCAGATGCATTAGACTTAGGTAAGGACATATTAGATGCAGGTTGGAACTAAACTCTACAGGAAAGTAGATCTCCAGGAAGAGGGATGGTGACCACTGGAGTGGAGTATGTCGTTTTATACCCATTTCACAAAGACAAAACTTTACAAAATGTCTTGCTGTATGTTTCGTCTGCAAATGTGGTACTTACAGCTCTTTTACTACAAAGGCTAAAATGTCAATATCAAAGCAAATGTCTATTTCTGCACATAACATCATCAAAGGTAAGATATAAATGGTCCATACACATTTTTCTATGCCCGCTGTGGCAGTATGCTTTAGCCTATGACAATTTAGGTTTAAGTTTGCTGTGTTGTTTTCCTCAGCATCTCCTCTGTCTGATTTTAACTCGGTTATGTTGTCTTCATTGGGCAGAAGTTGTGTCTATGGTGAGACGCATGCTTTATTTTGAAGAGTGTTGCAGTGTTGGTTTGGGTTTATGTAAATATAGCATTCTTGTTGATGTGAATAGTCTGGCCATTGTTGGCAGAAGCGCTGTTACAAGTACAATGACGCACTGCTGACAGGGTGTATCTTGATGTTATGACGTAGCAGGACCTAACGAGATCAGCAAATGTACCATGTGAACATCCCACCCTGCCACTCCTTTGCCACCCCTGCTAAAACTTTCTAGATTCTCCGCTGGCAGGGGCTCGTCATTTACAGACGTATCACTTTATGGTCTCTTGCGTTGGCTCTTACAAATGCTCCTCTCTGATCAAAAGGCAAACGGCATGAATTAAAAATCACCCAGTATGAATTACACATACACCCAAGCTCAGGACAAATTAATCAAACGAGCACACACACACACATACAGCCCACACAGGGTCAAATTCCTCAGGATAACACACACTCAGGTCTCACATATGCGCACACACACCTTTTTAAAGATAAACACACACGTTCAGCACTGACAAACCTCATCAGCAAACTTTGGAAATGATGCAATTTAGACAGATAAAGCAGTTCTGTTAAATTTCATCTCAATTCCAAAATGTTGCATTCTGACCATCAGTTTATCCAATCAAAATCCAGAAACACTGTCACTACCCACAAAAATAGGCAGAGCTGTTGAAAAGTTAGACGCTGGGTCATTTGTCTCAAATATGTGTGCTCTGTTGTACCCATAGCCTGATTCTGTAGAAAGTACTTAATGTATACTTTTAATGTATACTTTTGTTAGTCATTATGCAACATGAACTGGTCACGCATACTCATCTGAGCAAGACAAAACTCTCCCAAGGTAATCAATATCTGGTTTACTTCTTGATTTCTGACCAGTTTGAATAATTCGAGAGAGTTTTAATTGTCTCTGAAGAGAAGAGCACTAATAGCATGTGCATATAAGTTCTATATATATGCTGGACGTTTTAATACAGGTTTTAACAAGCCCTCGGTCACTTTCGTATTGGGGTAATTCCCAATGCCATCTTAAGGACCCTTCCAATAGTATACTAGCTGAACTGAAGTTTATTAGACGAGCCCTCAGAGGGGAGAGGAACCAAGTGAACATAAGAATTGACTTCGGCATTTTCAAACACGAAAAACAGTGGACAAGGCCGTTTATAAGTCATATCAGTAAATTACTCAAAAGCTATTAAAGAATTATAACATTTAATTTGCTGGGCTTTGATTTGAAACTCCATTTATTAGGAGACTAGCTAGCATGCTAAGGGCTATACAGCTAGCAAGAACACAAAGACAAGATATAGCCAGTCAAAGCAATTGTACACAAATTTGGTGTCCGTTATGTTTAAACTTTGCAAAAAAAGGTTTTACAAAGCAAAGTTTGCTAGCTGATTAGCTTACTGAGGATAACCTAGCAGAGCGTGAGTGCATTCCATTTGGATAACCCACTCATTCCTGTGCGTTCCTCCCCTTCTGTCACGAGTGGACACTTGCGTACTGTAGGTGGGGCAAGTGGTGAGTCAAAGTGGACGAGGGCATGTTAAAAAAAGTATTAAAAGCCAGCCATGTTGAAATTTATTGTACATGCTGTCTTGGGACGTGTTTGTATGTGACCTTTTGATTCTTTCAGAGACACGGAACCAGAAGTAGTGTCACCTAACTGTCCTTTCTCATTAGCCGTGAATGAGAAACTGGACATCACGTGACCTACTTCTTCTTCCTACAGGTGAGTATACGTGCTGATGCTGTATAGAGGAGAGCCAATCTTGTGCTTCACCATGACAGAATGGGTGATATAGTTTTATCTCTATGTTGTTCAGTGTGCATGTCTGTATGTGTTTTAATTTGCCTTGAGGCCATGGTTGAAGCACCCAGAATGCTCTCTTAGACAACATCGTAACCAAAACGCAAGACAGAGTGGTCACAGAGTGGTTGCTGAGTGGCCTTTTTAAGGCAATACCTCTTTTCAGTGCTGAGGAGATAAAGAGAAAGGCAAAAGTACAAGATTAACATTGTCGCTGTCTTATTTACCTCCATGTTCTAGTGCTAAAGCTAATGTCCTGCTTCCACAAAATAACAGTAATGAGATCAACATAGGATTTTTCTATATAGTTCTGAAGGCACCAAGTCAGACCTCACAATCATTCCGTTCCAAAAACAATGGCTCAGGCCTGAGATAAGCCGAAATATCGTCCAGGACTGGACGTAGAATCTCTGGGTTAACCTTTTCTTAAAACACTTTATTAATGTAGCCAACACTTACAATACTGTGCTACCCTTGAATTCCAGCCATTAAGTACAAGTTACTCATTTTTCATTGCCAGGGAAAAAAGTGGTTTCCATTCTTTCTTAAAGATACACCTCCAAAGTTCAGTCTTGCAAGTTGGTTTAGCTTCACATCATCAGAGTAATCCCAAACATATTCAGTGATATTGAGATCTGGGCTCTGGGGTGGTCAGTCCATTGGCACTGCTTGGCACTGGTACACGCCATGGTGGCATGCAGCAGTGTAAATGTTGCCATGGTGATAGTGGCAATTCTGCCCATTTGTGAGGTGATGGTGTTGGCCATTAATTTATCCTGAAGTGTTTTGAACACTGGTTAATGTTTCTAATAGTGTGTTTTCACTGACGCTCAGGAGAAGATGTACATTAACAGGCGCTCCCGGTCTCCATATATGAGCACTTAGCTCTTGTGTTTCAGAAAAAATTGACATCCGGTTTGTTTCACTACTGAGGCCGATAGCAAACGCTGGGAAAACTGAACTCTTGATGCTGTGGACAGAAAAACGTTGCAGCTCACAGTGGCTAAATTTTCACATAGCTCCGCTGAAAACAAAGGAACATCCAGCTTTCCGCCATCCATGCACTTCCAACATGTTAATGTGGCATTTGTAAGAGCTTTTTGACAGCTACACATCCTTTCAGACTCATAGTGTTGAATTTTCAGATATGAAGCAGGAGTGAAGCTTGATTTTCTCCTCTCTCTCAAAGATGAAAGCTTTAAGTGCTGTTTATCTGATGGGGACAGTTTTGATATCTACCAGGTCTTCCAGGTGGTTGTTAGGAGGCCCATTTTCTCTGTAGCATTTAATGGAAACTTACTTATCTAATATCTAATCTCCTCAGAAAGGTCTTCTGAAAATGAATAACTTGTACTTACTGGCTGTTTTTTTGTATAAATTGAGTATATAAAGGAGGATCTCTGACTTTCGCACAGTACTGTAAGTGCCAAGCCAAACCACACTTAGAGGCTATTTACCTGAAATATGACCAATATTGTCTAATTTCAGTAGCCTTTATCTTATCCAAGGGAGACTTGGTATGAAAACATTACAGGTTTACCTGCAGAGACTACATAATATGTTGTTTAATGAAATTCAGGCCTGCTCTGAAAAAGCCAGAAATAACTGTCAACATCTTGAATATGGAGCCATCTAAGTTCTGTTTGGAATGAAAAAATAAAATGTTAATTGTATAAATAATTTTCTCTGCCACCTCACAAAACACAGTTTGTGTATTTCGCAGATTTACAAGATAAGGCGTAAAGAAAGGTTGGTGAACTCACTTGCTGGCCAGGTGAACTTTCGGGGTGACTCCAAATTGTCCGTATAAGGTGACGAAAACATTGGCGTCGGTCCCCGCTCCTTTCACGTCACCTGTTACTGTCACTACCTCATATACTAAGAGACAGAGAGAAAGAGAAAAGTAAAGACGTTGCTAAAACTCTACATGGAAAGTAAGCTGCTGGTGGTAAATAACCAGTTCTCAACTGCTGTCAAAATCCCACCATTGATTGATTCATTGATACTGTATAAATAACATACTATAGCTAACCATTTCTGACCAAAGTGGTTGATGTTTTAATGGAACATTGTGGCAAAAAATCAAATTTACATGATTTTCCACTCACTCTAAATGCAGTTGACCCCAAAATCAGCCAAGACATGTTTGGTGGTAAAGTTTTGCTTCTGTTAGGCTAACAGTGCTAACAAACACTGGAGGTAAATAGTCACCAAAACTGTTTCCACAGTTGAAAAGCTATGTAAACTTGTTTGGAAAATAAGATGGACACATTAGCATCCCCCTAACGTCCCACTTTCTGGTTCCATTTCATCTCCAAACTATAAAAAATAAAAAAATATATCTGAAAATATATATTTAGGGTAAGTGGACAACCATGTAATTTATTGTTTTGCCAACCTATTCCTTCAACACCATGGTATGAAATTTGGTTTATATGATGTTTTCTTAATTTCAGTCATTCAACAACCATTCCATTAGTCCCTGATAAAAAGATGAACAAAATCTTTGGAAAATGTGCTTAAAATGCAAAAACATTTCAACGATTGCCAATAATTATTCTTTACACAAGGTAGATTCCCCATTGCTATGAAAACTGATGCTGAATCGGTGTTGGTCTGACCAATGTTTGCCCCGTTGGATGTACTCCAGAACCCAGCACTAAGACGAACCTTCCAGCCCTTCCATGTTAATCTGTAAGGGCAGAATAGGTGTAAGCAATATGGCCGTAACTTAACCAAGTCAAGCAGGTGAAAGCAAGACAGGGCTGTCCTCGTGTTACGGCTCTCCCTCTCCGACAGCCCCCGGGGTCGCAGCTATCAGGCTTCGTCGAGTAAAAGTACTGATCTGGGGTCAGGTTTTGGCTGTTAAAGTCTGAATTGGCAATGATTGATGTAAGTCCAGGAATTCCTTTGTGTGGGTGCATGTTGGTTGTCAGGTAAAAACAATTCGGCCTCCGTCATCAAGCAGTAGCCTGATGAGTTTCACTCATTGTCTTCACACATGTCCACCCTGGTAAGATCAGTGCCATATCTTTCTATGCTAAATTGGTTTTCTGGCCTTAAACTTGGTTTATGTTATTTGTTATTTGTCAACTATAGACCAAGGCACTGGTGCATTTTTCAATGCCTTTTTAACATGAGGCAAAAGAGAAGTTGCTCTGAGACGTCTAACATTAGGGATCATTCAGTTCCAAAACATGATGGCCCACCAAATTTGGCCCATGCAGCGTTTCTGGCCATCAAACATTATCAACAAAACATGCAGAAGAATGGGACAAAATGTAAAAATGTGAAAATGTAAAGAGAAGAGTTGATTTGGGGGGTCTTAGGATCAACCTGGTCTCAAAAGTGTTGGCAAATCTGAGATTAGTTTTTCTATGTCACTTATAATAGATAACATTATGCTTTGGGTAGAAACATCTGGTCCTAGAACCTAGTCCCAACCATCCTTAGGCTTGCAATGGTCTCTAGAGTTGGTGCATTTTCACTGTTGAACTGAATTACCATTATGATAACAGGTCACTGAAGGGCAGCATTTACAAAGGCTTATTCCACCAATGGCTGATGTGAAATAACATCAAAAACAGACAAAAGTGGCCTTTTTGACAACTGACACCTGTAGGAATAAGCTGTTATAAAAATGTATGTAAGTTTATCAGTTGTCATGAAAGGCTTACGAGTGCTGCCCTTCCGTAAAGTGTTACCGCAACTGTCATTTCATGTCATGTCCATATGGTTATTTGACTCACTAGAAGAGAATGTCCTAAGTTGCATTTGAAACATGACCCTCTTCTCCCAACAGCAGGGCAGATTTCATAACTGTAACATTGTCTCCTGGAAATCGAGGCTCCCTGAAATGCCACGCCTGACTGGCCTGGCCCGGCACTCCTCCCAGAACTGCATGAATGTAAGAAGTCCGCATGAATAGAACGATTAGGGCATTGTGTTTCAGACCATAGAGAGGTGGCAGTCTGCTTCAAATCCCCTGCCGGCATCTCGCCAACTGCCACTGCTCCCGTGCCACCCTGCCATCCCGCCACAGGTGCCGTCATGACCAGCGATGCAGGCATCCTTGTTGGAGGCTGCCTGCCAAACAGAGCAGGCTTCTGGGAGGTAGTTGCCAATCAAAGATGGGTTATGGAGATAACGATTCATTAAAACAGCCATCTGGATTTGTTTGCCAGTTATGGCAGACCACAGGAGGTAACTGCTAGTCAAAGATAGCGAGATAGTAATGGTGTCTGATCAGAGCAGCCCTCTGGAGTGACCCTATAAAAACAAGCTCGAGAAGGTTCTGAAGTTTCTGAGTTTGAGGTAGATTTGAAAAGATGTTACTGAAACGTAAGAACACTGTTAGCATGTTTGAAATGCAAACCTTACCATTTCTTACGGTTCAGAGTCTGAGAGAGGAAGAAAGAGGGTGTGGTCTAGCGTTGGGTGCACCAAGATGGGGTGCTTTATTCCCTTATCCCTCTTTAACCATCGCTACATCTGTCATAAACATTCTTACTTGCATCCCACAGTGGTGCAATGATAGCCTCTTTCTGATGTATCTTGGGCCGCAACCAGACTCAAGTCTTTCGAGCCTCTGGCATGGCTCGGCTTGACCCACCATGCTTGAAGACGCATTGAAGAAGACAAGCATCAAGACTCTTCTCTGTTCTGGCACCCAGGCAGCAGAATGAGCTTTCGCTGCCTGAACAGCAGGGTTCCTCGCTGCCTCCAAACGCCAACTGAAGACCTGTTGCTTTGGGAAGCATTTAAGTGAACAACTAATTTAGCATGAAATGTCTTAATTCTGTAATTTGTATCTTTCTTTCTAGGTATTAGCACTGGCCTTTGTTTCTGGCTGTGTCTTAGCTCAAGGGTAGTTTGGACTCTACTAGCTAGGACACATTTTCTTTTGTAAGTTGCTCTGGATAACAGTATCTGCTAAAAGCTTTAAATGTAAGGAATTTCTGAAAAACTACAACGAGCATGGGTATTTTTTGGGGGTGGGCTGTTTTTAAATAAACTATTTATTTCTTTTGTTGGCTGGCTATTTTAGAGGGACACCAGATAGATAAGGTTTCTGCTAGGAAGTTGAATATCTAATAGCTTCAAATCATCATTATAATGGAAAGAATGGATTACTCAAACAACAGACTCGACTCGTCAGAAGTGGAGGACAAGAAGCTAAAACCTAAGGTAGCTGACTATCTAGATACTCAGTTTGGTGCCTTTTCTCTGGCTAAAGGGGTAAGAACAATGTCTCTTGCATTCATTTTGCCACAGAATAAAGACAGAATTGCTGCTTTCTTTGCAATTTTGTTCGACGACTGAGGCAAAAGTTACACTAATGCTTGTTTGATTGTATTAATCAGCCTATGGATCAGTGGAGAGGCTAGCACTCACAATTGGTTGACACCACAGGAATTCCCAGTGGTTGTTCCCAGGGGTTCCCAATGCATGCTGAATATAATAGTGAGAGAACATTGCTGAACAAAAAAATTTATTAAAATTGCCAAAAAATTGCAAATCTCGTTGAGGCTGAGGGATACAGTGCTCTGCCAAAGAATGCTGCTTAACATGAATTGTCTCTCATCCCTGGTTCTAACAAACCTGTTTCTTGACTCCCTCAAGTCGAGGTTTTGCCCATGAAGACGTGCCAGCCCGTTTCATGGTTTTTCACAGAGTACAGCACTGGCAGTGGTAGAGTCGGTGTACTTTTAGTCTTGGAAAGTGAGAGTGAGCGATAGAATTAGAGGCTGAGAGATGAGAAGAGAGCAGAAACGTAGACAAGTCTAAGCAGTCTCTGTGTCCTTTGTAGACAGATGTGAGAGGAGAAAGAAAGACGAGTTTGTGTACCTTTCTTCTTGAAGTATTCATCCTCATACCCCTCTGAATCCTCTGTGTGAAAATTCAGAAGCTCCTCCTGGTAGATCTCAGCGTAATCCACCTGCTTGGCCTTGGACTTCTTGCCTTTCTTTCCTTTCTTCTCCTCGTCACTCTCCGAGCCCTTCTTCTTCTTCTTGTCCTTTTTCTTCTTCTTCTTGTCCTCCTCTTCCTCTGCTTCTTCCTCCTGGACCAGGTCGTCTTCCTCGGCCTCCTCCGACGACTTCTTCTTCTTCTTCCCCCCGTCCTTGCTCTTCTTCTCTTTGGACCCCATGTCTTCCTCTGTTCCCCCTTCCTCCTCACCCTCTGCTGCTTTCTTCTTCTTCTTCTTCTTCTCTTTCTCCTTCCTCACCTCCTCCCCCTCCTCTGCAGCTGGGGGCTTCTCTGTCTTTCGTTTTTCCTTCTTGACCGGCTCATTGTTGTTCTGCTCGCCCTCGGTCTCTTCTCCCACTATCACCTCTCCATCCTCCTGCCCTCCTTCTACTTCTTCTTGTTCTTTCTTCTTTTTCTTCTTTACCTTTTCCTCTACTCCTCCCTTCTTTTTCCTTTCACTGCCGGCGTGCTGCCGCACTTTCTCTACCTCCTTCTCCTCCTCCTCCCCTTCAGCGGTCTTGTGTTTCTTCTTCCTCTTCTCTCCGTTGGCGACGCTCCCGCTCTCTCCTTTCGTCTTTGGCTCCCTCTCCTCCACTCCGTCACCCCTTTCTTCAGTTTCCGAGCCTTTTCTCGCTTTTGCCGGCATCTTTTATTCATCTGGGAGCACGGCTGGGTTCAGGGCAGGCGGTTTCCTCGTGTGTCCGCAGGTATAGGGTGACCGCAGGGCCCCACGGCGCAGCTGGAGTCGGGGCCTCAGCATGGAGCTCGACAGGGCCTCTCGCGCAGCTCCCGCCGTCGAGCTCATGAATGTTTACTGGGGCGGAGAGTGGGGTCACGTGACACCAAAGGGGGAAAGCGAATGAAAATGGAGAGGAGAGAGAGAGAGGGGGGACGGGCTTCGGGACCTTTATTATTCATAATGCACAGATCGCTTTACTCAGACTCGTTGTCCCATCCAGGCACTGCAGCAGTTATTGTCAATAACAGCAAACCACTAATAAATAAGTAAACAAAACATTCAGCAGTAAAAGCACCACCATATGAAAGCACTACTGATGTATCATAACTTAGATTATATAGTGATGTTTGAACATGGCATATCTAGGTTTTGCAAAAAAAAGGATCCAAGTTGTAATCTAGGGAAAGACAAGAGGAAAGAGAGGGAGACAGAGATGAGACAGACAGGGAGGAGCAGACAGACAGAAAGAGGATACCTGAGGAGAGTGAGGGAGGGATAAGCAGAGAGTCGATAATTAAAGGTGCTTAACTAACACCAATGAATAATTGACGCAGATTTCATTAAGGGGGATAAATAAGTCAGTGTGATTACATTAACGTGGTCAAACTATTTAACACAGAGACACCACACCATTAACACGCAACACGCAATAAGCACGAGCAAATGCTGCAATTCAGCTGTTTAGCCATGAAGAACACAAGCAGACATTTGGTGCCAGAAAACTGGAACTGTGCTTGGCTATCAGTCCAATACCAAAGGTTCCAGTTTTACGGTTTTTGGTACCTGTTCAAGATTGGTACCGACAGGGTCTGATCGTACTTTAGGTAGTTTGATTTGGTTCTTTTGAACTCTTTGTTTCAATGAACTGAATGTCTGATTCCACCAGTTGTGCCAGGGGAGGGTGGTGGGGAACATACCTACTCAGTAATATCAGAGATTCTCTAACACAAGGGGAGATCCTCTTGTCTGGCATTGGGGAAAAGAGTAATCCCCAGCTTGGCAGATCAATCAGACTTTGTAAGTAGTAAGCCAACAAAATCTGACCCTGATGTCAGTGAAGCTCGTCCAAATTTTACAACAGTCCCCCTCAGTGACTGCAAAACAAACATAGTACTAAGACATTAACACTGGTAGTTTAAAAAAGGTTAGTTTTGAAGAAATCAGTACTGATGACTGCTGTTATAATACACAAACTACAGGCTTTCAGTCACACATATAGTTGCACGACAAAGAAGTGTTGCTTGCTGTAGCTAACATGAATAGCATTTAGAGCCACTGTTAGAGATCCTTCTCTTGGTCTGTATTTGTATCTTAATGCAGTTATTCAGCCTAACCCTCATGTAAAAGTTACAAAGGTTGCTGCAGAAAAGTCTGATTCAGCTGGACTCTACACATAGTTCTGTAAAATGTGTGACATTTGTGAGTACAGAACAGTGTGGGATATTGTTTCATATCAGCCAATAAGTTAAGCTAACTAGCTAATAGCTAAATTAGATGCTTTAGAGTGGCATAAAATGAACAACAAAGACAATAAAATCACTAATCATAGTTATTATGATGGTTCCAGCTGTGGAAAATGAACGAGAACTAGATGTTTGTTAGTTGTGCAGTGTAAAAACATCCTAATGCTAATCGACAGAACAAGAACACACCATTATGTGACACAAAACATTCTGCCAATTGGCCACTGGAGAATGAAAGAAAGAAGATACCTGCAGCTGCATAGCATGAAAACAAGGAGGCGAACCTACATGCTCTTATACACGTGGACCTGCTACACCTGCTCGGAGGCATGCTGCCAAATGAGGATTAACCCAGAGAAACAAGAGCCATTCTTCTGTCTACGCATCTTGACAACATCCGTGATATTTAGCTGCTACGTTTCATATACAGACGTAAACATGTTATTACTGTATGCGTGAGTGATATGAAAGTGCTAAAGTAGTGAGTAAGATAAAATATGTAAAGTCATATGAAATTCACACCAGACTGGAAGCTGATGCCAGACCACTCCATTACACTTACTACCTCAACCTGATACCACTATGAATGGATAAACAAAGCATCATAGGCAGGTTCAGACACAAGCTCACTTATAGTACATCCAGGTAGGAACATATGTGGCATACATTTACATAAAAACTGCACTACTTTTTGTTTTCCCCAATTTAGTTGAGCACATTTAACTCAATATCACTCACTCAGATGAGCCAGTGGTGATTAGGACCAGTCACAGTCTGGGGGAGGTTTCAGAATGAACAACACGGTGATTAGGCCCAATCACAGTCAGGGGGATGTCTCAGAAAGAACGTTGTAGTGATTAGGACCAATCACAGTCAGGAGGAAGTCTCAGAATGAACGTTGTAGTGATTAGGACCAATAACAGTCAAGGGGAGGTCTCAGAACAAAAAAAGACAGTGATTAGGACCAATCACAGTCAAGGGGAGGTCTCAGAACAAAAAAAGACAGTGATTAGGACCAATCACAGTCAAGGGGAGGTCTTAGAACAAACAATGTGGTAATCTGGACCAATCACAGTCAGGGGGAGGTCTCAGAATGAACAACTTTGAAGAATGAACGTTTGCATTTGCCTTTTCATTCTGACACTTAAAGCGCGTCCGCGCCGAAAACTGAATCACAAACTGTGACTTTGCTGTTGATTTATCAGTTTTGCATTTTCATTTTGTCAGATCTGCAGCCGATTGCTGAGAAAAAGAAATGAGAACGTGAACACGGCATTTTGGTTTTAGTTTTGACTCGTATTCTGCATTTCATGGAGAAAAGCCAAAGCCAAAGTGAAGCTTGGATTTTCTTTTCTCTCTCCATGAAAAACCAGAATAACGACTAAAATGAAATGACAAATAGCTGTTTTGCATTTATTTTTATTTTTGTCACAAATGGCTTGTGCTCATGTGAAAAATGAAATTGCAAATGTAGACATTTCATTTCATTTTCAATTTTGGCAGGATATATGTTGCGCAGATGTTTGGAAAAAGAAATGGCAAAAAGAGGTTTGCATTTTCATTTTATGGTTTTAATTTTAATTTCTTTTTTGGCTGGATTTGCCTCCCATAGAAGCACAGATGACAATGGGTAGAACACCTCAAGTCAAGTCATGTCAAAGTTTATACAACAGGTTTTGTCACAAAGCAGCTTTACAGAAAAAGGAACGGGAAATAAAAAGGCGGGAAAAAGGGCAAACAAAGGAGGCGCTGAAAGTACTCAAACGAAGGCTGAACTAGAAACATGAAATAAAAGACAATGAGAAAACAAAAATTTCTTCCTCTGTAATTATAAGAGGAAGGCAGACTTTATGTTTCACTTGTTTGCTCTTTGTGGAGCAAACACCTTTTGTATGGCTTGGAGCCGTTTGTAGCTCAAGCCTTCTTGTGGTTTTTTTAAGTAGTTTTGGGGGAATTACTCTCTTTTGTTTTTTCCAGACCTCTTTCTTTTTGTTTAAATACCCACCTGGGCTGCGTATCGTACCGGTCACCCCTCTACAAAGGTGTGACAAAGGGCTGCTGTTTGCCACAGGCTTAAGTAGAGGAGTCCACAGGTGTGTCAGGTTGGGCCTAATCAGCTCGAGGGCTTCTGGGAATTGGAGTTCCCTGAAGTTATGGCACCTTGCTGCCGTCGCCCTCTGCTGGCAGCCAGCAGCGCAGGCTGGGCCCTTACACTTTCCAATTTATTGTAAAGATATTTGAAGCCTTGAACAGATGTTCAGGTAACCTCGCATGATGGAGTTTTACAATGAATTTTAAAATGTTTAAATTCAGGCCTGTCTTTGAACATTATTGGTCTATAAATGTGTTAGCATGATAGCTTTCTGCTATCTACAGTAGCCCCAAATGGACAAACCAGACACTGGCTCAAGAGGGCGCCTTTTGTATTTTTATACTGAAGCGGAAGCTTAAATTGGTGGCGCTATAACACTGGTTGGAAGACGTAGAAAGCGGTTGCTGCTGGTGCTAGCTAACCATTTTGTGCTATGAAAAGTTTGAGAACCCAAATTTTGAACTCACTATTTAGCACAAAAAAAAAAAAGAAAAGAAGCAAGATGAAATCAAGACAGGTGACGTCAGAAAACCTGACAGGTTCAGGTTTTACTAAAACAGTAAACCTGGTTCTACTAGTAGGTTCTACCACATGCTTGGAAAGGGAGGCGTGAGGGAGGGTTATTCAGTTGGCTGCAACGTGCATCCTCACCACTAGATGCCACTAAATCTTACACACTGCATTTTTAAACTAAACTACACTGAAATGCCCAAGAGGTTCTACTATTAACTTAGTGTGGGATACAATCTCCAAAGCGCTGTGTAATTACTGTGGGTATGATGGTAAGTACCAAGACAGTCCAGCTAAATTACACTGAAATTACTTAACAGGCTACAACATAAAATACAAAGAATTTATGAGAACCGAATAAAACCAGACTAAGAATCACTACTTTCTATTACAGCCCATATTCAATTTAGTTTATAGGTAATAAACAGACACATACTTTATAAGACTCTGTACTTCAATCATGTAGTTTTTTTACTCCATACAACTACCCACTACAAAACGATTACACTGTACTGTGGAGTTTGCATACCTAGACAGTTAATACCTAGAACCTGCTGGGTCAATGTTATGTAGTTGGACTGCCTTTGAAGCTACCATCATGCTCCCTAAAATAATTATCTAGAACTTTGGAGCATCTCACACCTGGTTAATATCTAGAACTTAAGGATCTGTAAAAGTGTTGCCAAAAAACGGCACTTCTGCATTTGGCCTGCGTGTGGTTCCTTAATACACAGAAAAAGGCACATCCTCTACCTTCTTACAACAATCCTTTGCCCCTCCAACATTACAGTACAGCACACACATAAACACAGTGTTTAATAATTCATACTTTTTAAGGAGCACGCTAGGGAGACAAGTCAGAGACCAGCTGACCAAACAAAACACTGACATCTGACCTTCTTTTCTTTCACTGAGGCCAGTGTGTTTACACCCCTATCTGGTAGCAAAATCCTGCTGAAGGACTGATTTGAAATAGAAATCAAAACAATATGGTGTCGAGTGACGTCTCTTTCGGAGCCGAAGAGCATTTTTTGGCTGCGATTTTACATTTTCAATTTGAAGAAAATATTTTTAGTGTGTTCTAATGAGCTCCATGTGTTCGTGTTTGTTTTTCACTGTCCCTGGTGCTGAACTACAAGAACAAAGCGCTGTTCATGGTACTGAAACACAGTTGCAGTTAGAACTCAGTTCTGGTTAGAACACTGGGTCCATCTGAGCGGAAATACAGAACCGGGGACTGAAGAAGTGAATTAGAGATAACGTGTGCATTTTGGAAGGACAGACAAACGTAAAAACAGACAGAGAGACAGACAGACAAGTAGAGTGATAGAAAAAAAACAAAGACATAATTCCAAATTCATTTATTTACAGGTTTCATAAAAAGACACTTGTTGCACAAAGTACAGTAAAGCCAACATACCAAAGTATTCTCCATGGCAACCCCAAAACACAGCTCCCTTTCTGTCCTTTCATTTTAGTGATAAATAATAAATAAACTCTTACTATGTGATTCAGTAGTGGATATGTGGCTCATTACCGAAGCAGTTTTAGGAGTGTTCTTCATGTTTCTAGCGGTGAGTTGGATAAATATGTAGTAAAAGCTAAAGAATGGCAGCTACTAACTGAACAACAGACTCCAATCGAACAGTGTTGGTCCCATTAACACTGATTAGTTCCACTGATCAATATCACCTTTCCAGCGAAACGTAAATCCATCTTTATGTGCACATATAATGAAATCGTGTTCTATCTGAAGTCAGACTCGCTCAGCCGAAAGAACTGAAAATTGGTTGCTTGAGACGTTCCCGTTGGCCACAACAGTGGTTCCTGACAGAGCCGAACCTCATCGGTTGTCAAACATATTTGACTCACTGTCATCCCGACCAGATGAGCAGGTTTCTGCCATACTCAAGTAGAAATGAGTCAAAAACTGAGGCGGGTGAGCTGTGGCTCTACAATGTGCTCATCGTCCAGGCTGGGCTTCGTAAAAGCTGGACAGTTTGTAAGAAAGTCCTTCTCTCCACACATGCTCTCCAAACCGTCCCAACAGTGTCCATGACAGAAGAAGTAAATATGTGAATGGAATACTTTGAAACGCACAAGTGACACATGCAAGTCAGAGTGACTTTACCCAAAAGGCAAGGTGGCGTAAGACACGAATGAAGGCAGAAAGGGAAACAGAGAGAAAGAAAGACTGCCAGTGTTAACAAACTTCCTGTGTTAAACTTGCTGGGCCAGTTTTCCAGACCTCGATTAAAGCTAAGCATAGACTAAGAAAATTTCCAGTGTGACGGACCATTGACAATGCAGTTTAGTCCAAGACTAAGCTTAATCTGTGTCTGGGAACCCAGTCACTACTGTGCTTCATAAGGATGGTGCTTCATATTAATGACACTGTGCCCTTGTTTAGCCGATTAATGGTGCACGATGACAACGCTATATGTAACTAGGCCCGTCACAATCATTACATTTTAACTGATGTTTAATTTCCATTTAACTAATTGTGATTAACATGGAATTCTTTTTTCATTCATGTATATAGCTATTAAAGTACAAGCCTAAAGTGACCAAACTGGGCTGATTAGTTATTTTGCTCCCTAGTTGATGATACTTACCCTGCATTCACACAGATGTCATTCATTTTCAATGAGAGATGGCGGCTTCTGGCGAAGGGAGGCAACGCTAATATTGGCAACGTGAAAAGTGGGCGGAGTTGGCGATTCGACAAAGTTGAGCGGAGTTCAATTTTGTGCAAATGAGGAGTGAAGCGATGTGGTGATTACCAATAGGAATTGAGCATTGAGCAGCGTAGTACACGCTTTCTCTCCACCACTGTGAAACGGTACGCTACTTTTTTACTACTAGACGTGGAATAAATGCGTTCACCGCAAATAGACGATAATCACAAAGACCAAATACTGTTTTTTGCAAAAACTGACTGCACAGACACGGGGATTGAATAAAAATTAAGCACACAAGCCATTTCTCACCAGGACTTTTAATTTTAGTGGGAATGCATCTGATTTGCTTGACGTTAATGAAACAATGGCAACTAACGGCCCACTGGAGTTCAGAAACGCCCACAGGCGATGAACAAGCATCAATTTTTGTGACAAGAGGCGAAAAGTCGCTGCAGGTGTGAACACAGGGTTAGATCCCAACTTACGACAGGAACAGACCTAGCTCAAATAAACAAACATTATTCACCGTCGCCCCCCAAAAGGTGTTATTAACAAACATCAATAAACAAACATTACTCACCGTCGCCCTCTAAAGGTGTTATTAACAAACATCAATAAACAAACATTACTCACCGTCGCCCTCTAAAGGTGATATAGCACCAACCAGAAGTTAGAACTTTTGTTGTTTTCCCAAGGGCCCATGACATGTTTCTTTTATTTACATGTATTTGCCTTAACCCAACTGATGAAAACATTATTTCCCCCAGTATGTTGTTGACATAAACATATGATTGTGAAAGCTAACAACTGTGATCAGGCAATTAGGTAATAATTGTGACAGGCCTATTTTACTCTCACCATTATGAATTGTGACATTTCTTAAGCACCTTTGGAAATAGCTTTTCTCATTAGGAAATCTGCCTTGATATTTCTACAAGAAATACAATACTGTGCAAAAGTCTTAGGCAGCCAAGCAAACTGTTTAAAACTACGTATATTCGCTTTCAGTTTTGAATGGATTTTTTGCCAGTGCAAAATGCTACATAACACTAGAATAAATACAAATAAACATAAATACTGTAAAACATAACAAGAATGTTTTATTTTTGAACAGTTATTACTAAAGTTTGGTTCAGTTCCTGACTTCTCGCTGCACTCCAGCTATCACAGGGATTTGTTCAGGTCAATCAGCAGCACCTGATTTGATTTACTGAAGGACCAATTAGAGAAAAAGGGCCAGAAATATGGCTTTAGTCATAATTCTCTCAGATGCCTTTTGCACAGCACTGTATGTCAAAAATGTGTTGAATACTCATGAGTCATAAGGAGACGCAATGCAGAGAACGTTACCAACATGATGTGCAGTACTGCAGTGACAAAGCAATGAAACAGCCTTCGTGATCTAATCCAATGGTGTTTTTTTAAGGTTGTGAAATGCACACAAAGCTAGGCAGAGGACTGAGTACAAGTGTGTTGTATTGCTTTTCTGGCATGTTCCTTAACCTTTAACTGTCATGAAAACCTAAGAAGAATCACTTCTTTAATCTTCTGAAGTCTCAGGGGCCCATTATTATCATATACAAGCGACTTTGAAAAGAAGACAGGTGAAAAAAAAAACAAAACAGAAACTTGATCTGTGTATATAAAGCTTAAAATCTCATCAAGCTGCTTCTGAAGGATTAAAACTCAGCTCACCGACGTGTGAGCAATACAGGACGAGGCCTGTGGTGGTCCGAGAGGGTAAAACAGTCTCGTACGCTAAAATCCTCCAGGCTGAATTGTGAAAGGGCCTTCATAAAGGCTTCACAAACTGTGCATACTAATAATTATAAAATGCTTATAAATATTTATAAACTATTTACGCCAACAACTATAAAGTGAGAAAGATTCCATTCTCGTGCTGTTTCCTCGGACACAACCGCTCAAGCATTTGCTGGCAGTTGTGAGGAAATAATATAGTAGTGATCGTGACACTTTTATTCACAAGTATAAACGTATCTATCGACTGCAATTATCCTGAAAGAATCTTATCTTATCACTTCCGACGGATCATATGTGTAGTTAGTTTATGTATATGTAATTTAAAGTTTAATGATAAGTACTTATACAGTGTCTATAAGATAGTTCTGTAGGCTTAAGAAGGTTTTTGTTGGCCCTTTCACGGAGTGAACTGTGAAGCCACTGTTTCACAAAAACGACGCCACGGAAAATTCACCTCACACGAAAAACAAGCACCATGTAGCAACGCCACTGACAAAATCGCACAATATCAAAAACACAGCGTGAAATAAAATGGTTGGCCTTTAAGGCAGCGATATTGTCTTTAGCATACACACTCACACACACACTTTCTCTCTTTCACACTCACAGACACACATACTCCGGCTCACACGACTCAAGACCGGAAGCTCCTCTGAAGACATGCACAAAGCCTGACCCACTAGGAACAGGGTCAGAGGCGGTGTCCGCGGCAACTGCGCTAGCGCCACGAGGGCCGAGATCACCTGCACACGCCTGTGTGCACGTGCACAATTCCGCGGGCGTGCATGTGCAGGAAGTTGAAGATCTCGTGTGGCATGGCGTGGAAGCCTGGGCGGGGCTTGACGTTGTCGTAGTAGTGGTGGGTGATGAAGATGCCGGCGGGGTTCATGGGGAATGCCCAGAAGCCATACAGGTGCACCTCCTCGCACAGCTCCATGGCGGCCGTGACCAGCATGAGGCCACTGCTCAGCCGCTTGGCCCGCACGCCCTGCACGGCCCAGAAACGCTGCACGTTCAGCAGGTACTGCGGGTGGAAGAAGAACACGCCACGGGGCGACTCAAAGTCGTCCAGCATGTACTTCACCCGGAAGGACACGTCTGTGTTGCGTGTGTTGTAGAATGCTGGCAGGACGATGGACGAGTTCTCATAGCTCTGGAGAACGTCGTAGAACGGCTTACGCCACTTCTCCAGCTTCTGGAACCTAGGAAGAACACACAAAGCGAGATAGTGGTAGTGTGCGAAGGCAGTGTTTCCCACACATAGGATGCCCCCCCCAAAGTATACTGACGGCCACCCAAATACATTTTGTCCCATTTTAACAATATTATATAGGTTTGCGCCATATTGCGTATACTTGTAATCCAGAAAATGTCAATAATTTCCAAGAGGGCTGAACACTTGCACAAGGCAATGCCTGTGATGTATATGCGTTTGTCTGCATGTGTATGTACCTCTCTGTGATAATGCTTGGGTTAATGGTAACCAGGTCAGTCCTGGTTCCCACATCAGCTGCATACTTATTAGAGATAGGAGGAATATTGCATCTGAAAGACAGAAAGAAGAAGACAGAGAAATGTGATACATCTGTCGTATTTCAGAACAGTAGTTGTAACTGGTCAACCCTGACCCTAACTTTTTTTAGGAATTCTGATGTGAATCTAAAAAAACTCACTCCATGGCTGTGATCGAGATGGATCCCTACTTATGTTTGAATCTAGCTATGTAAATCAAGATAACAGCAGGCCAAAGAAGAATAAACGGTGCCACAAGCAGCCAAGTTAACGCAGCTGGTTACCCAGACAGCTGCAAGAAACTCACATTGGTTGTTGTTGCTCGGGAAACTGACAAAATGAAAAACTACCAACCACGAGTCAGTCAGACAGATCTTCTTTTCAACTGCCAAATAATCCATCTTCTGTTTAATTTTCTTGTCCGTTGATTCAGTGAAATTGTTTTAAAATATGCAGTTTGAAGTGATCGTGTGATATCACTATATTTTGAAATTGTATTTTGATTGTGTTTCATGAAGTAGAGATGCTGAAACTGTTGCGAAGTTTCAAGTGAGCTGCATGCTACTTTATGTTATGTAAAGGTTCATGTAGGTTTCACGTAAAGTGGTGTAAGTTTCACCATGTAAAGCCAGTCTTAGTGTCCGAATTGTGAAACGGAATTCCAGAGTGATTCTGCGGCCACTGCAGCCACAAACAATGCACTGTTTCCAGTGAACACCGTAGATTACTACACCAGCTGAATGTGTACCAACATGCATTGCAAGTTTCTTATTATTAAGCAATGGACAGAGGAACGTTACATTAACGGTGGCAGTTCAGCCGAAAACATAACCTGTCAGACTCGACAAACATTACAAAAAGCACAGCAGCTCTGAACAGTTAAAGTCGAACACAGTAATCATGCTCATCATACAGCAAAAACACTGACTGTTACTGTAGGTTCCTGCTGTCAAAGACGATGAATTAGAAATGTGTTATGAGGATTGATGATGAGAAAACATTCAAATTTATTAACTGATTCTGGTGTTTTTACAGGTATTTAGTAAACTATGTATGTATGGTGCAAAAGTAATGAGGGAGAAGGGAATCATTTCAGTCACAGCCTATGACTCAAAGCATCAGACAGGCTTACCGAAAGACAAAGTCAGCCGAGTCAATCTCTTTCCCACATTTGCTGTTCTTAATGATCCCTCCGTTCCCGATCACAGCGCATTTCTTAAACTGGGATTTAGAATACGGCATGTCCTACAGGGTGAGATCAGACAGATAAGTCATTTACAGAGTGATGTTGTCATAGCATGATCCCAGTGTGAAGCTGTTGCTAGGTAACGGTTGCTGGGATGAGGCTGCTACTCTGAAACGGTTGCTAGGCAGCGGTTGCTTGACTGTTTGAGAAGGTTGGATCTAAGCTTGATAAACAGGGTGTGGCTGCTGCATGGAAAGACTGCAGCCACGACCACAGTCTGTATGCGTGTGCACGTTCACTCACTTCAGGGAACATTTTGAATATCTCAGGGCTGATGTGTAAAATGCCGCTGGTGTCGACCTCGTAGCGCAGTTTGGTGCCAGAAGGTGTGTTTCTCCGCGTAGTGAACAGGAAGGAGGGAGCGTTGCAACACCGAGACAGAGACATCCTGTTGGACAGAGCACTGTTCAGTTTCTCAGCACGTCACTCAGCTGTTACTATGGTAATTACAATCATATTGAAACTACAGATAGTGATAGTAGTTGACATGTAAATTGAAATGTACACCAAGACTGGCAGTTGGTGTTTTAGATAAACAAATGCTGATAGTCTGTTACTTCAGCTAATGTTACTAGCCTAGTCTTTTTCACCTTGTATCTATCTAGCACAATGAATCCGGTGACCTTCATACACAGTAATACAGTATCACTTAATGGATTTTTTGCAAAGAAAAATTGTATTTTGTCCAGCAAGTCTTTGTGTTTTGTGGTGTGTATATATATATATGAGGTATGTGTGCTGTGTGTACATGTTTGTTGTGTGTATGCGTGGTATGTGTGCATGTTTGTTGTGTGCTGTGTGTATGTGTGTGTGCTCACTTGAAGTTGGCAGTCTCCTCCTTGTACTGCTCCCATGAACAAGCTTGCAGATTTCTCCATCTTTCAAACAAGTCTGAGGTCTTCACCCTACAACACACACACACAAACACACACACACACACACACACATACATACGTACAACCACACGCATAACAAACACAGATACGGTACAAAAGAATAAATAAGTGAGGAGTGAGGACAGGAGATGTAATTGGAAGACAGGCACAAATGATGAGAGAGAGAGTGAGAGTGAGAGAGAGAGAGAGAAAGAGAGAGAGAGAACAGAAATAGCATGTCTCTGAATAAATGCCCTTCACTGACTTTCTCCTTTGAGTCGAAACATTCATTAGAAATATGACTCCCTCAGGAGAGCCCACTCTGCAGACATCTGAGATTCAGCATGTGTGAATGAGAGAGAGGGAGAGATGGAGAGAGAGAGAAAAAGAGAGACAGAGACAGAAACAGAGAGAGAGGACAGAAAAAGAGACAGAGCGAGAGAGAGTGAGAAAAAATTTGAAAAAGAGAAAGATAGACAAAAACAGAGAGAAAAAAACGAGAGAAAGGATAGAAAAAGAGAAAATAGGGGGAGGAAAGAGGAGAGAGAGGCAGAGAGAGAAACAGAGATTGAGAAAAAGAGAGGACAAAGAAAGAGGGGGAAGAGCATTAGAGAGAGAAGAGAATTAGAGAGACAGGAGAGGCAGAATGGGAAATAGAGAGAGATGGAAAGTGATGAGAGAGAAACAGAGACAGAAACAGAGAGAAAGGATAGAAAAAGAGAGGAAAGAAAGAGAGAGGGAAAGAGAAGAGAGAGCGAGAAAGAATAAGAAACAGACATAGAGATGAGAGAGAGAGAAACTGAGAAAGAGACACAGAGTGAGTTAAATAGAGAAAAATCCACAGAGAGAAGACAGAGAAACAAAGCGAGAGAGAGAGAGAGAGAGAGAGAGAGACTCACATGGACAGTACTTTGACGTCGGTGATTTCTTGCCGCAGTTCTCTGCAGGTGGTGGAGTTGTACTGTAGGCGTCCATCAGAACCGTCCAGATACCTGCCAGACACACACGGTCATACAGCAGCTAAACTAGACTAAACTAAGCCCTGATCACTCACCCACACAGAGGAGCTGACTCTCAGACTGAGATGGTAGATGTGTCTCAAAGCGAAGGCTGTCACAGCTCACTGATGGACGCGATGCTACGAGTTTAAATCTCACGTTTGAAACACTCAAATTCTATGTCTCATTACAAATACTATTTCTGTCATTTTTTAAACGGTTTTGCTCTCCATGTGAAGGACTGTCGGGGACAGAAGTCTCGAAGAATGCACTAGTTGAGTCCTCTGAACTGACTGCAAAATTACAACATTTACGTCATATTAACAAACAGACATATATCATCTCTAAGGTTCACTGAACTATCTGGGTCACTGTATTTGCTAAACATCATTTTAACATGTCTAATGATAAATAACTTTACAGAAAAAAGTTAAGATCATTTAGCTAGTTAGCTTTTCTAAACTTGGCTGCTGATAGTTAGCCTGATCAGTCAGTCAGATTGACCAGGACTGTACAGCACTCATTGATTAAAACATTCCTGTGATGGAAAGTCCACTCAAACGGTCCTGAGATACAGACAAACTGGGGTAGGTCATTGTGAGTTTTCACTTAGCAGATGCTAGCTAAATAACTAATGTTAGCAACCTGATGGTAAGCTCTGCCCCAACTCCCACTACATAGGTCACAGTTCTGCACATTTTAATACAAGATGACTGTTTATTTGTGGAATGTAAAGCTACACTGTGTAAGTTTTACGGATCTGGAGACCCGGACCCCTTTCGTTTTTCAGGTTTTCCATAAATTGAAATTGCGCATTAAAATAAGTGCAAAAATGCCATATTTTTCCTCATGTTTGTTCTCCGGAGAGGACGTGCTAACTTACTTTCACTTGGAAAATTAGCAAAACTTTTGAGCCCCTGATGGGACGTAGTGTGTAATATCGGGTGCTTATAACATAGTATCTGGTGCACGTCTGATAGAATTGCATGCTCACCTGTAGTATCTGGTGCTCACCTGTTAGTAAGTGGTGCGCACCACACAGATTCTGGTGCTCACCTGGTAGTATCTGGTGTTCTCCAGATAGTACCTGGTGCACACCTGATAGTATCAGTGCTCACCACATAGTATCTGTTGCACTCCTGATAGTATTGGGTGCTCACCACATAGATTCTGGCACTCACTTGTTAGTATGTGGTGCTCACCTGTTAGTATGTGGTGTGCACCTGACAGTTTCAGTGCTCACCAAACAGTATCTGTTGCACCCCTGACAGTATTGGGTATGGTGCACCCAGTACACCATATCCCTTCAGGGGTTCTGTACAAAACTTGTAATTTAACTGAGAGTATTCAAAATTTGCACAAAACTGTAAATAATCTAAAAAAAAAAGCTGTCATGCTTGTCCTGAGGACCCTCCTGGGCAGGTGTGGGGGCTCTATGCGTAGTCTGTGTATCAAAAGAATCGGCCCTGACCAAACAGGATGGCCTTCAGTGACGTAATGGCTGAGAAACGCAGCCCTGCGAAGCAGCATGCTTGGCTTTGAGACATGGCTACAGTCAGTATTCATCCTGCCTGCTGGGTTCGTACGTCTCTCCTCTTTTGCAGCAGCATCACACACACACACACTCACATACACACCTTTCCTGCTGAACTAAATTAGTTCAAATGAACGTGTTTCAGGAGAAGCAGGGTTCAGAGGGTCCCATCACATCAATGATGACAGAGACGCAGCACGGAGACACAGAGATGTGCGTGTTTATGTGAGCGTCCACCTCGACTGTGAAACAAAAACACAGCGGTGCTTTTCGACAGGGCCGTTTCTTGCAACAAGCGATATGAGCACTTGCTTAGGGCCCCAGAGCTAACAGAGGCCCCAGTTAGTGTTGTTTTTTATTTTGCGTTTTATTTTATTTTGTTTCATTCTTCATAATGTTCTCTGTGAAAAGTGAAATTTTAAAGGGCCCATATCGTACATCCTTCTTGGATTTCATTTTTCCCCACCTCAAGGTGCAGTTAAGACATTTATGTTGGTTTATGTTTCACCACAAAACTATTTTCCAGCCTCTGCTTATCCCTTAGAGTTAAAGCTGTTTCTGTTACCATGCCTTTAAGAGCATTACATGTAAATTATCTTTATGTTCTGATCGGCTGCACCTTATTGTGCCTTGTTAAACTAGCAGTCCAGGCTAAAACACTATATAACTTCAATGTTAATGGGTGGAGCTAAAATGCAGCTTAGTTTCCATAGGTACACTTTATGAACTGGGGAGTAAATGGGACATTATGAAGTGTTTACATTCTACATTCAACTACATTCGACAGTTTGTTTTTTCTTGATATGGGCCCTTTAAATGGCACAATAAGCACACCATTTAAATACATTTACGTTATTAGTATGTATTCTTTTTATTTACTATTTAATTATATATTTCTTCAGCATATAGTTAAGTAATTAAGTCTTAATTTGACCCAAAATGCTCAGAAACAGCCCTGCTTTTCGAAATAAGCAGCATTTAGCATGTGGATAAGAGAACAGCAGGACATGGAGGTCTGCCTGAACAACAACATGCTGTAAACTGTCAAAGCCCAAATCTATCTCTCTCTACCTCTCTTTCTCTCGCTCTCTCTCTGTCTCAGAAAATCTATGAGAGTTTAAGTGCCTTCTGTTTCAGGTTTAATTAGCTTTAAATAGACAGTAATGAACGTTGGCTCTGCTTCACTGTAGTGCCTCCGGCCATTCGCTGCCCATTAGTCTAGAGCCAAAATGGCTGCTAACCGCATTAGTCCAGAGCTAAAATGGCAGCTGCCTTCACGTTGCTCTGGAGCCAAGATATCATCTAGCTTATAGGCTATGAAATTTAATTTCATATGAGCAGCTATAAAGACACTGCAGTTAGAATTCGCTTATCCAGAAAGTCTGGCTTTGTTAGCAGTGATCATTATTCTTCTTTTGGCATGGCTTGCGGGAGCCCAAACAAAGTGTAATGTTTGTGGTGGGCTGTGGGGGCAAACAGAAAAAACAGAAACTTGTTAGCTTTACAATTTGTTAGCTTTACTGGCACTGGGTATTCTTTAAATACTGCCAGGGTTTCATAACATAGAAGGCACACTGCCTTTAAATTCAGTTCAAAAAGATATTTTTTTCACACTGGTGGTCTCCAAATCTCCTCCACGTGTGGTATGTTCTATTAGCCCATTACTGCTACCTACATATGTGTTGTTACATTTGCATTGCAGATCATGATAAATGAGTTTTTACAATTTTATTTTACATTTTATATTAAACAAGAAGACAATCAAACAACATAAGCCAAAAGTCTTCTTGAAAATCTCCTTTTCAGACTGCAAAGGTTTCTTGAACTGTAAGCTGTTTGAAGTAAATGAGGTGTTTAACATTTATTTTTGTCATAAACATGTTCAAATGTCATTTCATTTATGTTTTAGTTACTGTACATGAAGAGTATTGTTAGATTAGCATGCCAGCCAGCTTTGTTGGCTCAGGAGAGTTTTAAATGGACAGACGGCTATCTAGCTAGCCTTAGGTTGTAATTATGGCTGGGTTAGCATGCAGGGAGTGGGACTGATTGGTGTAACTAGAGCATTGCTATGATAGTTAATATGGTAACTACCTATACAGCAACCTATGGGCAGTTAGGCAGCTCACTAGTTAGTTGGCACATACGTTTTGTTATTATAAACCCTTATAAAAATGCATTTTTAAAAAAAAACAGAGGGAGTGGCAGGCCAAATCAAACCTTGCATCAAATTCTTGCAGCCAACTTTGGTCCCTCTTTAGGCAACCCTGCTAGAGTAGCTACTCAATTGCATTTCTCAAGGCACTTAATGCAGCTGGAACCAACGTGGTTGACACCATGAAATCAAACACTACAGCAGACATGAGAGTGAAACGAATGCAAAAACTAAAAGAAAGGTGCTTAAGCAGAAAAGAATCAGAAGCACAAAACACGAAGAGCGATTCCATACATCTCTGACTGGAGTGAGGTCATGAACATATGACTGTGCTGTAGCCTAGAGTGCTGCACACTGAGTAATCAGAAGCGTTCTGGACACGTGGCCGCAACCCTTTGGCAGAGGCGTGACACGCGTTTGTTTACCACAGAGCAAAAGAACAACAATAAAACAAAACAAAAACAAAACAGCAACCAGATCCCAGTCAAAGACAGGATGACGATGCAGGACAGAAGACTGGAGTAAGGCAGAAGTGTCAATAACACACACATGACACACGCTCACACACAAGTGCACTGTGTTCCTGACCCCACACACACAGGTGCACGTTGGCGGGGGGTTTGGAGATGAGCAGCAAGGGCTGATGGGAGACAGGTACAGGAAGCGAGAGCACGGAGAAGAACAGAGCGAGGACTCGCAGCGTCACCACCGGGTTGAGGTGAGGGTGATGCAGGGGTGACTGATGGAGTCAGAAATCCAAAGGGTGGGGAGTGGTGGGGGGTGAGGGGTTCACACAGCATGCACAAGCAGACCAGGAGTGCTCCAAGCACTGAGGGCAGTGGACGAATGCACCCTCTCAGACCGAATGGAAAAGGAACAGACATCATTCCCAGAAATGGGGAAAGGGTGAGGGGGGAAGGTTTGGCAAGAAAGAGAAACTGACTGGAGATGCCATCATCGTCAATGGCCTACCTTCTCTTTTCTTTTTTTTTCTTCTTAATATCGGCTAGGCAGGGTGCGATAACTACGGAGATCTCTGAGTGCTGAAAATTCTGACGGACGCATCTGTCAACATGCAGACAGGTGGGTTAGCGTCATAGGCAACTGTTAGAGAGTGGGTTTTAAATAAACCATTAGCCCCTTTAGGCTTTCCTTTTGCTCTGAAAATCTACCTTCTCACCCTGGTAATTCCACCTTGGCCTGGACAACCCCACTGCATATTCTAAGAAATTAAACCCAGTTAGTTTCCCCGTCTCTGATTGGCCGTTAGTAAACTGGTTAATTTTTCTACTGTAGCTCTTTCCTGATTGACGCTGATATTAATCAAGTCCAAAACATGCATGGAGGGGCATTCATGTTTGATCACGTTCACTCTCTCTTTCTTTCTCTCGGTTGTTGCTGTTGGTGTGGTCAAGCTGTTTCAGTGCTGTATTGTACCTTTTCCTCCCATTTCTGGCTGGCTTCATCCCTCCATCATCGGGGTAACTAACGAGGCCGCTCCAGTTGCCCACCTCCTCTCCTTTGAGGCGGGTAAACTGTTGCCCACTAGTGAGAAAATGAGGCAGTGCGTTTAGGGTTTGAAATTTGCATTCAAAGCAGCAAAAAAAAAAGAAAAAAAGAATCAAACAGACACACATATTAAAAGAATTAGATCTTTGTGAGGAAATCACAGGTGAATTGGTTAAATAGCAATCTCACTCAGATTTTCAATGTTTTGTTTTCCTCAAGGAGTCTGCACAGAGGGCACTAATAGCTTTCAGTGCAAGTGAGGGAGATGGCTGAAGAGACATTAGCCCGGAGAGTACTGTCAAACTGAGTCTCTCTCTCATGAGAGTCATAATGAGGGAGAAAATGTCAGCAGACACACTGTACGTCCAAACGTTTGTAGGTTCCCACACACCCAGCATTTCATAGGCTTATTATTCAGTAACAACAATAGAAGTGTGTAATAAAATGTTGGGCCCACTGGCAAAACCTGACCTTTAAAGGGGTCAATGGAAAGTTCGTCGGCTTTACACTAGATGTTGGAACCTTGCTGTGAGGACTTGACTGAGCATTAGTGAGGCCAGGTACTGATGTTGGATGATCAGTTCTGGATCACTCCAACTTATCCCAGAGGTACAGGATGGAGCTCCAATACTCCAGAGAACACAGTTCCACCGCTCCACAGCCCAAATACACAAGGGTATTTCTACTGCTTTAGCCTGCACTTGGGATTGGGCATGGTGAACTTAGGCTCATGTGCAGCTGCTCAAGAGCGTTCCATTCAATTGGTCAGCGCAACTGAACACCTGTGTCAGCAATGGGAGCACCTTAAAGTAGCTGAATTCATTCAATAACATTAACATGGTAAGAATGCAGGGAATATATCATGTGCTACACCTATTTTGCTTATTTGGATAAACACACTGTATATAAAACTGAATCAGAAAGCCATCTTAATTGTTTAGGGTAACCTAGTTTTAGAGAACAGATATTTTGGCTTAGGTATTAGTATTGTCTACATGTATGTGCTAGGATTGCTTATTAGATGTGCGTCTGGGTCCATGCGATCTGGATGCGAGCGCTAGCATAATCTCAGTTAGAGACTGGGCATATTTTCTGTTAGAGCAGAGGCATAATCTCAGATTAGGGCTGGGCATTTTTAGGGTTAGTGCATGGACACGCAACACTTAAACTGTGGTCTTCTGGCACAGATTACAAATCTGAATAATGCCTTTTTAACCATACATGCGGACAACTCCTCCTTAATGGATAGTGTGTGAGAGCATACTTATTACACTTAGTATCCGTGATCATGGTGATGCATCCCGGGCTCAAGCACCAACAGTGACACCCTGGAGAGTTTTAGGAGCATCACTATCTCAGAATAACATGACCTAAATTAACCCTCAGCTTTCTCTAAATATAAGCCCAGCTATTGCCATATAGCCTGTGTTATCAAAAGCAGATTTATTAAACCAAATTAACTGATACAGAAATGCACCAATATAGAGGCTAGTGAATACAGACGTGATATTCAGCTTCCTAGCAGTAGCATTAGCTATCTGGCTTCCTTCTGCATTAGCCAGCTAATGGAAAAAAAAACATTTCGAACAGTCCACCCTTTAAGTATCCACCCTAAAGCAGCTGTAGTTTTTCAAAAGTAACTTCAACCATCAAGATACATCATTAGAAAGAGGTTTTCTTAGTCTTTAAACCAGAAAATCGTGCTGTAAGGCTGTGGCACCACTGTAGAAAGGTGAGCTAGGCAAATTTGCAACTCTGCATAAGGTTTTGGACAAAACTGTGGATAAAGTCTTCATTTTGGCCGGAGTGTCCTTATTACTTACTGCCAAGCCAACAAAAATGATCACGCAATACCAAATCTTCTAATATATGGTCAATATCTTTTCTATGGTCTAGTCCTTGGACTGTAAGCCCGGTTCTACAGTTTTGGAAATTCCAGAAGGAGATGCTGACTATGATGTAGTATAGCATTGCTTAAAAAGCATCTTGTTAAACAATTTAGATTAATGTCAAAGATGTGTAATTATTTATTGGTGGTAGTTATTAACCTTCAGCTATACTTTCAGTGAATAAGCTTGGAAAATGCTTTATGGATTCCTGAAGTACTCATCCATACGTGGACAATTCTGCCATCTGCTCTTTTACTGTAGATAACTGCCTGCTAAATGACTCCACATTAATGTGGCAAAGATGAGGCTCTCTGAGAAAGGGCACTGAAGAAACCTTGTGAGGAGACATTTCTTTGCGGTCCATAGCCACTCAGGGTACAAGGCCTCCCAGCACTTCAAAGTGAATTAAGAGAGAGCTCAATGATCTTGATCAAGGACACCGGACAGAAAGTGAAACCCAACCTCAGCAGCTAACGGTAAACGCTGCAGGAAGGAAGGGTCGATGAGGAGTGAGGCTACTACTCCAGATCCATATAAGCGAAAGACAGCTCGGTACTGACAGCTGAATGTCAGTTCTCATCCTGCTGAGTACTGCTGTCACAGCCTTTTCAGTGGTCAATTAAAACTTGCTGTGAAGATCCTGAAGACTGGATCAGGATGTCACTGCTGCCATGAGTGACAGAGTTTCTCAATCCCAGTCCTAAAGACCCTGTGTGTGCCCCCATTTTGTCCTACTTAAGGGCTTGGGAATGTGTAGTCTTGTGGGGCCCAACGTGATCTCGTAACAAGACAACAGGTCTGGGGTACCACCCCTTCTAAACCCTACACAAAACTCCTCTAATTTGGGCTTCTTTAATGTCGTACAATGCGTTTTTGACAGACTTTTCAGTCATGCTAACTTGTATTATATCCTCGGGCTAGCAAGAGTCTTGTTGTCCATTGGACAATGTTAAAGAGTGCACCTTCACCCTCATCTTCATGAAGCACTGGATTGGTTTAGAAGTTTCACATTCAGTTTGTTCCCACCCACATTTTGTCCAAATTTCCTCCATGGGTGTCCCCAGATGTTCTGATGAGATCACCTGGCCCCATGAGACTAGAGAATAAGCATTTGCTGAAGAGCCGTATAAGGTGTGCTACAACAGGGGAAGGCACTGGTATTCAGTATCATCCTAATCCAACTAGACTAATGGTAACCAACAGTGGTTCTAGATCTACCTTGCTGCAGAGTCTAGTTCCAACCACATCTGCTCCAGTTTATTAACTGAACTTACTGAAGTTCAGTTAATAAGCTGGAGTCTATAATTGGCTGGATCAGATGCACTAGCATTAGGTAAGTGGGGGCAGTATTTTAGGTGCAGGTTGGAACTAAAGGATGAGGATTGGTGACCATTAACCTACACCAAAGGTCATCAAATTCGAACATTGAATCTAGTTTCCAGTCTCATATTTCGTATTCACTGGTGTAAATAAATGAACTGTTGATAAAATTGATTGGCCAACTGATTGGTAGTGTGATGCCTACCAGTGACCACAAAATCCAGGACCGAAAACTGAATTCCAGGTCAGGATTGAAAGAGTGTATGCATTTTTGTGTTTTTCCTGCTCATAAAGACCTGATTTAGTTCTTGATTGCCCCGGTTGTCAGCTAACTCAATTGAATCAGGTATGTTAGGGTACTCCAGGACTGGGAAACAACTTTATAGAAAAAGATTTCATTGCACAATTACCACCTTTCAGCCTGGACCACACAAATGTGTCAGGCTGCTGGTGTCTGAGCAACCAGTTCTTTTCTATAACTGACTTGCTACCCCACCTTTTCCACAACGTCCAGTCAAAGACACACTAATACATGGCTCAGATTCTCCACCTCATTACAAACGTGCAGTTTCCAAGCTGAAAGATGCAAGGTGAAAAAAGACTAGCCTAGTAATGTTAGCTAACAGACCTCTAGCATTTGTGTGCTCGTTTAGACTGACTGCCTTTCTCTGTGTAAATTTGAAACCACTTGTTACCTACTATGGCTTTCCGTGGTCTCAATATGTGGTCAGCAAAATGTTGGGTGATGCTCTGAGAAACTGTACAGGGCTGAGAGTTGCTAAGTGGCGGTCACTGACAACACTGAAAGCTGTGCTGCTATGCACCTCATTAAGGTCCATGGTTTCAAATTTATAGCACTGCATGTCGTGGCATGTGCAGTGTCTGTTGCCAACTCAGTTAATTTGGTCATTTTCAACCCCTTCTTCACAAGCTGAGTCAGATTTGCTGAGCTTGTGGAGAATGCCAAAAAATGTGCAGTACATTAGGGGCACAGCACTGAGTGGGAACCGGTACAATCTGTGAAACAGAGGGGCAAGTTATGCACATCTTCTGGCTTTCCAACAACTCTCAGACTCATCGCTTTGCTGTTCTGATACAACTGAGTATAATTATAAGAGGTCTAATGAACTGCAGAGCCAAGAATGTCATTAAAGAAAACATTAAGAAGGACATCAAAGAAGCAATAGCTCCATAAACGTGTTTATCATCGGAAAATTAATTAAACTACAAATGAAACTATGAAAGTTTTAGCTGGCAAAAGGAGACAAGTGTCAATTATTAGCAAAGCTAATGGGAATTCCACTGATTTGTCAATATCTCTAGCTAATCCCATGATTGAGATCTAAACCAACTTACAACCAACTTTACAGTGGAAGTGATAGGAACTGGGGGCCTCAATGTGTTCAATGCAAATATAGCCATTTTGTTTACTAGCTAAAACCTCAATAAACCTACATGAGTTCTTATATATTGATAATAATTGTAAAAGAATGGTAAATTTGAAATTAATACATTTTCTTTACCATTTACTACTATTAGTACTGTTATTGTAGTATTTTGCCTTTCACTGTCCTGTATACACCTCTCCATCATCTTAAAACTATCGTAAAACAGTGTCTCAGGCATCAGGCAGTGTATTTAAAACCATTTCATGTAATAACTTTCAGTGAGGGAGCTTTTAGAGGTGGATATCTGGTTCCTATCACCACCACTGTGAACAATTCTGACTCAGCAAGTTTCTCTAAAATGGATCATTTCACACCAAAACCAATCTGAATGACTTTATGTCCTAAAAATTTAATCATGCAGCAAACTTTGTCTTCAAAA